AGGCTGACCTTTCTGTGATTGCCTCTGGAAATCTAATTTTTTTTTAAGCTGTAGTTTAGCGTCATATCCGTGTCTGATTTGCTTCATAGTGTCAGTTTCTGTCCTTGTTTAAACTCTAAGCCCTACTACAAATCCCTGCCATTAAATGTTCTCTGCAGATTATAACCATTAATCACAGCTGTAAAACCAACAATGTCCATTAACATCATTCATCAGTCACTGAAATAGCCCAGAATGAGGGTTCATGAACTAAAATGTAACTTACACCATGCCACCATGAGGTTTTTCCAGTTCAGTTATTCACTGCGGTAGCTGTGCTGTGAGTTTATGAAGTGCGTCACGTTGTAAAGAGCCTATAGTGTCCTGTAACCCCCTCCACAGAGCTTTACGCCCCCAGAACTGAGGCCTGCTCGGATACCTAAAGTCTGTCAAAGTAGTCCGGGAGGTAGAGCCCTCAGTTAGTCTGGTTTTAAGAGACTGACACCATCTTTACATCCAAGTATCGCCTTAAAACTTTCTTTAATAAAGCCTATAGTGAGGACTTGCTCAAGCTTGGAGCAACTCCTTGTGATGCTTGTGATCCTATGGGCCAAGCAGTCCAGTCCAGTTCAGTACGGTAGAGTTTGGCATGGTAAACCCTGATTTTGCTTATGCTGCATTCAAGTTACCTCGTAAGTCAGATGTCTGAGCTGGGAATAACGTCACACCCGAGTTACCAGTACTAAGTCAGAAGAAAGCAAAATCAGAGGCGGAAACAAGATGGCTACAGCTACGAAAGTTATTATAGTGCTTGCCTTATCCTTGCTTGAAACGTTGGTAACTCGGGTGTGACATCATTCCCAGCTCAGACTTCTGACTTCTGAGGTTACCCGAACACAGCATTAGCTACACATTTTTGACTGGCCAAACTGGGGCACAAACCACTGCCGTCTGTTTTTAAAGGGTAAGTTCAATGTTTTATTCGACCGTCAAAGTAAATTGTAAAAAATAATCAATAATAATAGAAATTAAAGCCCTTCGAAGCTTAGAGTCTGGGTTTGGTTCCTCTAGCTCTTTCCCTTATGTTGCTCCTAGATCCTGGTTCCTCACTTCCTGCTCCATCCACTGTCCTACCCTTTCAAAATAAAATTAAAGAAAGCCTAAGAGTAAAAAAAAATCTTTTTTATCTTAATTTGCTAACTTTAAATCTTTTTTATTATATTTACTTTCAGTTATTTTATTCTGTAAATCCTCCATCCACTTAAGATCCTATTCTTTATCATCATTACAACATTATAAATATTAGTTATTACAGTTTTAAGTGTGCATGATAACTCTTTTTTCATAAATTATACAAGTTTAAGCCAAATGTTGCAGACAGAAGAGTACTGCAGGGTTACTCATGAATTGTGTGCAAGCAGCAGTTTAAATGTTGATTAGGTGAGGCTAATGCTAACAAATTAACGTAATTATTATTCGTTTAATTTGTCAAACAGATCACTTTTCTGAGCCCATAAAACAGGTTAAACTCCATCTCCACAGGTGCACACGAGCAGGTCTGTAAGTGTGGGAAAGAGGAAAAAGTCAGGTGAAACACGTACGCGCTGACGCTGCACTCTTCTTCAGTTACGTGTTTGGTATGACCGTCACGTCTTCTGAGTTTGTGAGCTTCAAACATGAAAGAGGTCGTCAGTCAGCTGTGACTCAAAAAACTGGTTTGTTCTCTGAAAATATCTGTGATATTCCAGAGTGCTGGTTGCAAAAGATAAACTTGCGAGATCATCAGTGAAGAAGGTCAGAGGAAGAAATAGTTTCTGTGGAGTAGAAAGTGCAGAAGTAAACGTTTGGGTTTGTGTTACGATGAAGTGATGACAGGTAGACTAGCAAGTCTTTGGTTGTACCCACTTAGCATGAGATCCAACCTGCGAAAGCAGCAGCTCTCATATACGCTACCAAATACTTCTGCCCTTGCCCTGGTCCAAGCAGGAGATAGCTAGCAAAAGTTTTAGCTTATGTAGCTAGAAATGTAACTTCAGGATGACGTATTATACTCACCGTTCCTCAGGCCAGTCCAGAAATCATAAAGAAAATCTAATTTTGTACAATTTGCAGCTCAAAAAAGTAACTAAACTTTATCTAGACTGGCATACGTGGAAACCCTTGCCCATCTCTATTTGTCTCTGACTGAAAGCCTTTTGTTTCAGCTGCTTTGTGAGTAATTTAAATATTGGGACACAGCTAGTGGGTGTTACTTTTTACACAGTTTTTACTCATTAAATGGTTCTAACTGTCCTTTACAACAACAACAACAACAAAAAAGTTTATGAGAAACTGTGAGACACACATCAAAAAAGGCAAAAAACTGACTTCCAAGCTTCAGAGTGGGTGTGTCCTTAAGCACTGTTCTGATTGGACGGTATAAACCAATGTCAGGTTGTGGCCATGTCTTCAATAAATGTTTAGAGAACCAGCAAAAACTCATCCAGAGGTTACATCCCCATTTGGGTGTCTTATGTTATGAAGCATTGCTGAGGTTTATTATGGACGTTCAACCTTGCAACATTGTGAATGTATTAAATTAGGGTCAGTATAATAAGTGACCTCTCTGTATTACTAAGGAGAGTTTGCATCTCTGGTGAATTGGCTGTGAAGGATACACCCAGTGCAGCCTTTGCAGCCCCTGAACTGGGACAGATATCGTCCCTGTGAAGTCAAATATTGGTTTCTGGAGAGACATTTTGACCCTTAAATGTCGCCATATTGAAAAAGCTAACATAACAGTTTATCTTTATGCAAATTATACACATTTATTTCTAACTTTCACTCTTTTTTCAAAACAGTTAAGATATCTAAAGATTTAAACCTTTCTTTTTTTTTTCCTTAAGACCATAAGCGTGTGAAATGTTGCTTTTATTATAGGACCTAATGGGGATTTCTTGACTTTTGCATCAAGCCTCAAGTGGACACTTGGGGAACTGCAGGCTTTTTCTCAAACTTGAACTCTAAACTTACATGAACATATTTGATATTTCCCACTTTACTTGTTTTAATTTGGCACATAAGAGGATTGATGAAACTGCTCAGAAAATTCTTACATGTTTATAAAACTAGATTATTTTCTGCATCTTTTGACTCCATTAAAAGCCAAGATAAAGTAGTTCAGACATTATTTTAAAAGACAACACTCCATTGATTGATTTCTATCTTTAAGGGGTTTTTTTGTTTGTTTCTGGAGGCATGGATTAGACATTAATCCAAGAATAAACCAAGTAACCTAAAGAGTCAGCAGTGTTTGGTGTAAACTGAGGACATCAGGTCTCTGCGAAGGTACTGAGAACTGTGTGGCTCTCACTTAAAGCCGACCTTTGCCCTGCTTTCCTGCGGTAAAGAGATTACTGTACTTGAATTCTGTCAACAGTTGACGTGGAAAAATTAATCTGTTGTGATTCAGAATTAGAAAAGCAAAGATTCCTCTAAATCCCAGTTAAGCTCCCACCTTCACGGCGAATGTGCGCTGACTGCTGCTAATCAGCCTGGCCCTCAAACGGCGTTATCTGGTTTCAAGCACAGGTCATTACAGGTAAGGAATCAAAGGTGTGAGTTCAGTATTTTAGGCTCTAGATGACGTCGGCTAACTCTAGCATCAGGGGAGAGTCAGACTGATTAGCAGCAGCAGCAGCAGCAACACCTCATGAAGCTGAGAGCTTCCTCAGGATATACTGTATATAAGAACCTCTGAGGGAAACGTGTCAGAATAATATGTAACCCTACTATAACATTAACTCAACGATTAGCTGCAGGATGCTAACTTTGACTGATCGCTGTAGTTGATAAAACATATGATTTGCTGCCTGCAAGTTATTCATAAATTAAAAAGTGAAAAGACAAGTATTTGTGTATTAAGGAGAATTTATGGAAACATTTGAATGAAACCATATGAAAATTTAATACGATGTACACGTCCATATATCAGAAGCAATGTGGCCAGATATGTTACATATATGGCAAATACAGTGCTATCACATACATAATACATTTTCTGTATATATGACGATAAAGATTGAGAGCATTTATGAAATACCCAAATAAAACTTTAATATTGATAAGTAGTTAAAATATACATGGAAAATAATCTGTATAAGGCATCAAAAGTTTTGACAAAAGATGTTAACATATATCAAGAATATATGCAAGTATGAAAAAGTATTTTTCCAACACATACTGTACATATATAAGTACTTTGTTTTATATTTTTTTACATATGTCAAAAATATATATTTGACTCAAATGTGTTGTAAGTTTTGATTATACATGTTAATAACTTATGTTTAATCTGGTTATCCAATTATATGTTTTTTTTTTTCATGTTTGTAAAAAATAAATGTTTAATTTATCAATACAGGTATAAAAAAAATTATTTAATTCATTTATATCTATATTTTAGTTATATATATTGACAACATATTCTTAATGTGATTCTAGTGTTGTATGTTTTGATCATATTTGTAAAAATATATTTGATTTATAAATGTAAGTAAAAAAACTATTTAATTTATCTGTAGAGATGTTTGATCAAATATGTTGATAACTAAATTAAAATAAAAAAGGTTGCTACACATCAGTGCGTACATATTTTGTACTGATGCATAATTACTGCTTTTAAATGACATCTAAGCGCTTTTATGACTTTACTATTTACTAAAACATCATCAGTTGAGATTATGATGGTTTAGTACGTGTCTCACTGGTTATTTCTTAATGATGTAACATTAATTTCATTATGATTTAAGGATATATTTTGTATTACAATTACCATTTTGATGTAACAATAGGCAGTTCTATCAATATGACTTAATATGAGACTTTTTCTGACTTTTCTGATCTATTATCTTGATATCTATCTTCATTTTTCCCAGACCACCACTGTCCAGTGGTTCGGCCTTATACTACCATATGAACAGTCTCTTACACCCAATGTAAACATCACATCTGAAGCAACAACGACAAGATCAGAAACAAGATCAGTTTCTTAAAAAGAAGTGTTTTATTTCCTTTTTAACAAAGCCCAATACAGATTTGAAGCAAAACTGGGGGAACACTGTTAAATCTCAATCCAATCATCATGTCAGGGGACACCCACAAAGAGATGAGCTTCAAATAAAAAAAAACAAAGAGAGATACACCGAAAACAATCGTACATCCCAGACCTGGGGCAAAGAAAATAATGGTGCATATCATCCAAGAAGTATTAGAGAAGAAATTATTCATGACAAACACAAAGTTTATGCCAGCAGCTGTTGGGGAGGTTCAGAAATCTTCCATTAAAAAGACAATTTAGTGTCCATGAGGTCTGATCGAACCAAATACGCCTCATTACACCTTTAAAACACATTTAAGTAGCTTGGACAACAGATCTGCCATGAGGGGGCGCCGAGAATAAAAGTAAAGAAAAGAAAATAAGATGTTTACATGTTTAAAGGTTTTCTTCTTTTGCTTTCTTTCTTTTTTTTTCCACATATAGAAGTTGTGCCAAAGAATTAAGAGTCAAATTCAAAGAATCGAAGAAGCGTCGGGTTAACATTTTTACACGTCATTTTGTTACACAAAGATATATTTAAGTGTTAAAGTTGACAGCTGTGCTGAGCGTGGGCACATACGTCTTGGGGGTGAGGGATAAAAACATCATATCTACATCGTTTTCCTAGGGTTGTAAATATATTCATTAATGGCAGACTTTTTGTCTTTTAAGTGGTTTTCGTTTGTACTTCTAATTTGGCGATATTTTTAAAACATTTTTAGAGAGTCACTTCACCAGTTTGCTGAGTTTGTACCGTTTTAAGTTGGACTACTTAAATCCAGAGAAAAGATGGGGTCAGGAAAGTAAGATAGTTGAGCTGTTGAGTTTTTCAGGATGGCGGATCCTTTTATTTCTCTGAATATGAAATTACAGACAGATCTGAAATGAGCTGATCCACCTAGTATGTAAACACAGTGATTTTCTGATACAGAAAAATACTACGATGTTTATCGATCTTTAATAACAATATCCGTTGGCTGAAAACACCAGTCTGCTTTGATATATCCTCATGTGGGAACATATATATATCTTATAACAAAATAAATCTATACTGTTGTCGTGGTGATGGTCGCTAAGGGTCGTACAATCCCATCATCCCCGTTTCTCTGAGTGCTTTCTTTGTCCGTCCAAACAAAGAAGTTTAGCTCTGTAAGAAATCGTACTTGTAACCGAAGCAGCTCAAATACTCAAGAGGCTCTGCCTGAGAAGAACATTAGTTTGAAGCAAATAAAGACTAATAAAATACTCATCTTTTCCATCTTTATACCAGCTGTTAAAGTCATTTATAATAAAGTTTATGTCGCTATTATCATCATCTTTAAAAATCAATGCGCAGTTTTGTTTTTAACTGTATCGTAGCATTTTGACACAAAATATCCTCTGGGGGATATTTACACAGGAAAAGATACTTTTCAAGCAATAAAACAAGCTTATATTGTGGGTTTGCAACAGAATAAAACACATCTCTGAAGAAGTAATGGAGGAAGAATTGCATAGCAGATCAGAATAGAACTAAACAGAACTGATCCTTTTTGGTATGGTGCACTTTGATTCATGACTTTTTGCACATTTTCACATATATACACGAAGTCCATTCATAGTTTCACCTGCCCACAGTCAAGATCAAGTTTACTTCTGCGCTATAATAATGCTGGACAGAGAGGCGGCGGCAGGAGGCGTCCTCTCTCGTCCTCTCTGCTCCTCTCGCCAAAGTCCATTGGAGTCTTTTCAAAAACAAAACAATTAAACTTTGTTTCAAAAGTGCCTTTTTGCTACATTTATCAGCCGACCCGAGGTCCGCTTATGAACAGTTAACACACGCTAATGTGTTACACTCCCCCACCAACGTCACACAGTTTCCTGATTCTATGAGTTTTGGTCACATGGACAATCACACACACTCACACGCTCACGCACGCACGCATACACGCTCACAGACGTACTTGTGCAGAAACACACACATACACGAGTAGATGACATGAAAGGGAAAAAGAAAAAGTGGAAAAAAAAACAGAGTTGTGGCCGTTGGGTACAGTTCCATTTGAAGAGTTTATCTTGCTGCGATTAGACATTCCCAGCTGGTAAAGCTTTGAAAAATGAACAAGCACCATTAGGAAAAGGCCTCAGATGTCCTCTGCTGGGGGAGAGTTCAGCAGTTTCCGCTTGATTTTTCTGTGCTCCCACGAAAGCAAAAGAGAAAGAAATCTACATTCAGACTCGCCTCAGGCTCTCGTCGGGCCAAGTCACTGAAATGTTTCAGGCTTTTTTTCTCTCTTTCCAAGTCTGAGTTCAGCAAACAGAGCCTCTTCTATTTTCAAAACATGGAGTCCAAGGACGTTTTATCTCCAACTCCAACTCCCATGAGGCCTTTTTTCACATGTCCCAATGGAAAGATCCGGGAGGGTCCTCACCGTCTCTGCTGGGAGTAGACCGGGTACGCTAGAGTCACATTCAGAGAGTCATTGTGCTGGACCAAAGACGTGTGCTGGTAGTGAAGAACGAGTTCTTTCAAGGAGCTGTACAGGTTGTACGGCTCGGCGAAGCCATAACCTGAGGGGGTCTTGTTGATGACGCAGTGCTTCACCTCGCCTTCCACGCTGCAAAGAGAGGACAGAACAGACGGTCACAGAGCGTTCTCCTGCTCGAGGACACAAATGTGTTTCTCTCTCTTTACGGTCTGGTCACTGACGGTTAAGTTTAAGGCAGCAGCTGACATTTTAACGGTACTGTGAGCACGGAAACAAACAAATCAGACTGATATTTCCTCCATGTTTGAATTTATGTAACAATCCTGCAGTTTCAAAACGCTGACAAAGTTTGTGATGTCTACCAGTCTGACTATCAGTCCTTGCGTTAACAAAAAGAAACGTAAAAAGGGGTAATGTCAAGAATCGAAACAAGCAAATGTTTGGACTTCAAAGTTCCAGTTTTAGTTAAAGCGCTTTTCAAAACAAAATGTTGATGTTTTAGCCTCTAGCTGTTCATCTAGCAACTATCACTCCATTTTCTCCTTGTATTTCTCATCTTTCTGCTAAATTCCCTTACACTCACATCCTTTCTGAGTCTTTTTCTCTTCGCTCTCGTTTGCAGATTTTGAATGCATGCACGAAAAGCTGACTAAATACTGTATTTGTCACTTAAACAAGCAAATCCACCACAAAAAAGACTAATATGAACGCACTGAATGTTTTTTAAAACCTCTCACGAGTCAAAATTAAACATTTTAGAACTTTTTAGAGACCTTAAACTTTCTCGCGCCCCTAAACTTTCTCTGAGTCTTCACTAAGGCTGACTTATAAAAACAGTTATTATCTTCACATGTTCTCGTCTCGTTAATATGCAACTCAACTCTGAGAAACTAGGCCTGTTATCTTTTCTGTGCGTGCATTAAAAGTCGGCACGTCTGCGTCTGGTATGAAGAGCAGGGCGATAGCAGCTGGCAGAACCTGTTCCAAAGATCATATGGGCACATGACGGTGGATTTTACTGCTCTGAAAACTGAAGCTTTTCCGTGTACAGCTGTTTGAAGTGCGAACACGTGTTGATACGTACACAACGCTGCAGGCGTAGCATCCTGCTTTGCTGCTGTCTCGGACCAGGAATGTTCCGTCTCTCTTGCTCTGGAGGAGAGCCTCCGCCTGCAGCCGGTTGATGTTGCCGAGCTTCCAGGAGCGCTCGTCTTGATGGGGGAGGTCTTCGTCGTCGTCGACCATAGAGTATTGACTGTAGAGGAAGGAGATATTCAAACGTGAGCTTTGTGCAGAGATGTAAGAGTGTTTCTTTCCTTTCGTTTATAAAGACAGAGACTCACTCTTCTGTGTTCTCGTTCTTGATCCCCAGCCACTCGTTGAGTTTCTTCTGTCTGACTCCCTTCTGGGTCAACCACCTGAAACACGGAGACGGGAAACACAGAGAGACGTTAGAAACCAGGGCAGACCTATTTTGAGAGGAGGCGTTTCTGAAGCAGCTTGTGCTGGACTACTTTACTCACATCAGATACTGGTCTCTGGTCTTGCGGAGCTGGATGAGGTCTGGCTTGATGCTGTTCATCCTCTTGTCGATCTCTCTGTAGTCTGCCGCCTGTTTCTTCAGGTCCTCCTCCAGCCGGCGCTTGCTGTCGACGATCTCGCTTATCCTGGATTTCAACTTCTCGTAGTTTCCCATAATCCTAAACACGATAAATCGAACTTTTAGATCCAAATTCAACTTTCTGAATTTGATCTTTTCTTCCTGAGATCTCAGCAGCTCTCTTACCTCTGGATCTCCTTGTCGTTGCCTTCCCTCCTGAACTTCTCGATATACTCCTTGCTGTACCGCTCTTGTGTTTGGCATTGCTCCTCAAAGATCTTAATCGTTTCGTTAAAAGCTTCGATGGCCGTCCTTTTCATTTGGATTTCCTGCGGAAAGGAAGCACAGAGTTAGCTCTTCTTGTAGAGATACAGCAGGTAACTTCTGGATTTCCGTCAGAGGGTGGCGCTTACTTGTGACGTTCTGGTGTATTCTTCGTACAGACGGTCGTACTCTTTGTTTTTCTCCTGGTACTGCTGGTGGTACTCACACAGCTTCCTCCCCACGGCTTCAATGTTGTCTTCTTTCACCACCTGATCCTGCAAAAAAGAGTCAAAAAGAGGCGCAAAGTTGTGGTTAAATCCCTCAGATGTGAGATCTGTGTTTGTGTGTTGGTTTAGAGGCGGCTTCTGCTGACCTGCTGGTGTTTGGAGACTGGATAGAGCAGCTTGACATCCAGCTTGGGGTTGTACTGAGCCAGTGACTCATTGCGATAGTGGTTGATTAGCTCCACGACGGAGCTGAAGGTCAGTGGGTCCGAGAAGCCGTACTTCCCGTCCCGGTGGAATATCTTAATGAGCTTGTTGTTGCCTCCTTTCCTGTAAACGCGTAAAAAATAAAAAGAGGGAAAGCGATTAAACTCCCCGCCAAAATAAACAAACAGGAGGGAGGGGACTTCAGGGGGAAAACTCACCTCAGAGTCAGAGTGTAGTCTCCGTGCATCTTGGTCGAGGCGTCACGCACCAGAAACGTACCGTCGGCGGTGTCCCTCAGTTTCTCGTTGACCTCCTCCCTGGAGATGTCCCCCCAGTACCATTCGGCGTCCTGCAGAGCCATGTTGTTGTTCATACCGTTGTTCGTCACAGAGGCGGGCTTGGGTGGTTTTGGAGGTAGAGCTGTGAGGGCGAGACGAGACGAGACATGATCACCTTGAATTAAAACCTCTGTTTCCTGAAAGGTTAATGAGACTGAAAACCAGAAACAAACCGAATCTGAGAATCGGATTTAAAGGTTGTTCCGCCAGAACTTAGACACGGAAATTACACCCACTCTGTGATTCCCACTCATCTCCTTTTCTCCCATTGATTAATCACGGCTGAAAAAAAAGCCGCCTGTCTCTGGCAGAAGGGGGAGGAAAGGAGGGAGGGGGGAACGGCGAAGCGGTGGGAGGTGAGTGAAGCGAAGCATGAGTCAGGGAGAATGAATTTCATTCAAGAAAAGGAGAAACTTATAATTATCCCTACGAGCAGGAAAAGTGACGACGTGTTTTCACGCAGAGAACATCGTCTTCTTCAGAAATACGTGACACTCATATCGATGATGAACAGCTGAGTGACATGCAGTTCGGCAGCCGGGTCTGGATTTCCTTCAGGGTTCAGCCTCCAGCTTTGACGTCAAACAGACAGTCGGCGTATTTACAATCACACCTGAGCTGCATCACGTCGGCCTGTTCCGACCAAAAAATCTCCAACCTGCAGTGCCGCTGTCACCGCCGAACGAAGCACGGTTAAGGTAGCGGCTATTTTTAACCCACAAATCTGCGCTGCCTTTGTTCACCCCCCACCTCCCCCTCATCCCTCCTGCATTAGCAGCCTCTCTGCTCCTAAAGACCGAGCGTGTCTGCGGCTCAAAGAGACCAAACCCAGACCCAGCAGAGATTTCTGATCTGTGCAGAGAAAACGGCTCACCAGTTCAAGCCCACATGGAGCACATGGTCTCTCTGCTGCAGCTCTCAGCTCTCCGGTCTGATCCCGTTTCATCTCAGGATCACCAGAAATGTTTTCTTCTTAAACCCTCCGTCTGCACAATCCAGCCTCAACGACACAACGCCAGCTAAACTGTATTTTTTCTGTTCACCTACAGACCCGTTTGGTAAAAAGCCATTAAGGGCAGCCTGCTCGGTAACGTGTTACATCACTTACCACAGCCAATCACAGGGGGGGGTCTGTCACCAACCACTCCTGCATCTTTCATTTCCTGCGAGCGGTGAGGTCATTCTGAAAGCCCCGGACTTTTTTCTCTCTTTTCTATCCTTCTGTGCAACAAGACTGCAGCTAAACTGTCAAGAAATCTCTCTGCAGCATCCGGCGCTCTCTCTCTCTTCCCTCTCTCGCTCAGTGTGCATCCATCTTAACAGCAAATGTGCAGCATCTCTCTTCGCTCAGGGAGGAGGAGAAAAAAGAAGCTGCAGGCTGATCCATGCTTTCCCTCCCTCTCCCTCCTCTCTCTCTCTCTCTCTCTCTCTGTGGCCACTGGCTCTCCTGCAGGTTCGCTCGGCCCCTCCTCCTCCTCCTCCCTGCGTGTGTCGTGCGGAAGGTTTTAGTCCGTCCCACTGCTGGCACTCAGACAAAGCCAGCTCTGCTGCAGCAGCACGTACGCAGCTAAATTATAATGCCTGAGCTCCGGTCAGCGGCACCCGGGGCTCCAAAATACGCCTGTAATCCCGCAGCGTGACACTCGGCATGACAGAGATAGCTCGCTTGATATCCTGAGTGAAATTAAAATAGACCTAATTCTTGGTAAAGCATGAAGGATTGGAGAGGAACGCGGTCCGTGTTCTTACAGGTTCATGTGGGGCTCGGTTTAAACTCTTAAGAAGTGACAAACTCCTCACATCAGAAATTAAACTGTCCTTCGTATCTGCGTTTGTAAAATCAGCTTTCTTTAAACTTTCCCTCTCCTGCTGCAGACACACGCTCTACTTTCTCCGCCTCTCTGGAAATTAAAAATCTTGACTGAACTCCACATAATCTTGGCCCAGAGCGAAGCCGACCTACACAGGAATATTTTATAAACACACACAGCTCCATGAAAAGCAGCCTGAGGCGGCACAGCTCGCTGACAGACACAACTGCAGGCTTTAGGACAACAACACACACACACACAAAAATCGAAAAGGCCATTCTGCTTGTTCTGTTTCTGTCTCCAGCTGTGGTGTTCCTGTCTGTTTCTACCTCATGCGGCCTCTTTTCCTTCCAGCCTGAAGGCAGCAGCAGCAGAAACTAACTGTCCCACTTTTCTATCAGAGTTTTCAGAGCAGGAGGAAACTTACGTTGCAAGTTGTGCATGATTCGGTGAGTCTTCTTCAGAGCTTCACTTTTATTCCCAAAAGATAAAATAGATCCAATCGAGTGAATGTCAAGTCCTGCAATAAAGCTCCATTTCATAGTTCAGGTCACAGAGAAACCGGATTTGTTTTTTAATCTTATTTTATAAAATTGATTTTATTTTATAAAAATAAAATCAAAAATAAAAATAAAAAACGGCGGTTGAGGCTTTATGTGCTTCTTATTGAAATCCAGGTAATCCGCTCGGCGTGAGGCAGGTGCAACATGCGACACAAGAGGAGCTGAGTGAGTGAGTGGCTTGTTCCCGCTGTGAGCGAGGTAAAGTCTCTCTCTCTCCCTCTCTCCCTCTCTCTCTCTCTCTCTCGGCCCGCTCGCGTGGAGGCAGATAGTTAATGATTAGCGGTAGCTGCTCCGGTGTCAGAGCTGTCTGTTCTGAAAGCGGCCGCTCGTGCCAGCTGCGTGTGTGTGCGTGTCTCTCTCTCTCTCTCTCTCTCTCTCTCTCTCTCTCTCTCTCTCTCTCTCTGTTTGCAAAGGAGGGGGCAGGAGGGAGGACCAGAGGAGGAGGAGGAGGAGGAAGAGGGGGGTTCAGTCTTATGATTAACTTGCAAAGTTTCAAATATTTGCTGAGCTGGGCACTTTGAGGCAGGGAGGACATGTGGAGGGAGGGAGGGAGGGAGGGAGGGAGGGAGGGAGAGAGGGGGAGGAGAGTGGCCCTAGAAACTGGAAGCAGCTCTCAGTTAACAAGAAGTGCTCTGTGGAGCAGGCCGACTTTCCAGCCAACCAAATCTAAGTGGGCCTTTTGTCGCTTACTTAAAATAGTCGGGCAGTAACTGGGAGGAGGCGCGCGCACACACACACATTAACACACACACTAACACACACTCACACAGGTCATTCACAGAACAACACAGACAAAACTGACATGTGTGTGTTTACAAAGTGGGCTTTTCTCCCGTCCTGTCTTCTCTCACGTTGGCGGCGTCCTCTCTCTCTAACAGGTGACTTCCTCCTCGCTCTATCTCCGTCCACGCTCTGACTCGCTCATGTGTGCATTTTTTTTTAAAGAGTGAGTCAAATAAGAGGCTTCTCAGGGTTCGAGTTCTGCCCGCCTGGCCGCCCTTCAATTCAAGCGTCCAACGAGCAGAGCAGAGCAGAGCAGAGCAGTGCGCTCCCGCAGGTGCAAATTACCGACAGCTGAGCGCGGCCCATGCACAGGAACTTTATAAATAGACCTTAACAGGTAATAAAACGTTTAAACAGCCACAGCCAGTCCTGGGCCTCTGGGCCGGCCAACGACAGGGCTTTTAACTAGCTCTGTAAAAACACTTGAGTCCCACGCAATAAACCGCACACTCTCACACACACGCACACTCACACACACACACACATGCACACCAGCTTTGTCTCTGCAGAGCAACCATGAAGACTGACTTTGTGCAGCAGTGTTTGACATTTTATACCGAAACATCAGAAACCACACCAACGCAGAAGAAAACCAGCAAGAAGCACCAACAACAACAACAGCATGACCTCCTCAGGCCTCTGTCCTCATATCTGCTCCTGTTATATTTCCATTTTTCACTCTGCAGAAATCCACTTTTTAACCCCAAAATCAAAATCCAGAAGCAAAACAGACAAAAACTGATCAAATAAAAATATCAAGATTGTTTCTCATGTTTTAAAGCACTCATTAACTCTTTTTTGTATCATTACACTTTATCATATTATTATATATAAACGCAGAAATATTTAGATCTACATGAATTACTTCTTTTAAAATGTATGTAAATATACAAACATTGAAGTATTAAAATATTGCTTTTTATTAAACTCTCTATTCCAATTATGTCTGCACATGTAAACAGAGTTATATATAGTTATTTTACAGTAATATATTTATTTAATCTTTTTTTTATGTTGGTGTAAGTTTCAGTTTGTTGCAAAATTAAAATAAATATGTTCAAGTATTGACTTTTTGTTTTAAAGAAGTTTACAGTCATACTGGTTCATTAAGCAGCTTGTTTAACACGCTACAGGAAACCTCTTTTTATTCCTCAGACTTTAACTCAATTATTGTGAATCCAAAAGTCCTCCTCTTCTTGGTGCTAATTTGTTAAATATTTTTAAGCTGTTTATTCTGAGCTCTGTAACTTGCAACTACAGGAAGTAGTGTCCATATAATTTCAAAATAAAAGCATGTCCTGTCTACAATACAAGAAATACTGAAGCGTTTATATAACTCAGTGACAGAATTAAAAAGAAGTCATCACAAGGAAAGTTTAATGAGGAAATCTCTCTTCTATAGGTGAACAAAAACTGGGTCACACACATTGGTGTTTCAGAGCGACTGTAGAGCGAATGAGTGTGTGTGGGGGGTGTCAAAGTGAAAGTTAAAGTACTTTAGGTACTTCACTCAAACTCAGACAAAAGTTTCCCTGTTAGTTTGGAAGTTTTTTGGATTTTGATGGTGAGGTAATTGTGAAGAAGATGAGATGCAAATTCACACGCAGTAGAAGACGGTGAGGTTTGTGTTTTTAGGAAGTTTCTGCTGCAGAGCTGCTAAACTTTAGCGTATGGGATTTTTCATTTTTAAGATTTCTCTCCCTGTCATGAATTCTTTTAACTGTGATCATCATCTCTCAGTCAAACCTAGTTTTAGTTCTTGTTGAAGGCGCTTGACAAACTAAGTATATCAAGTTCAATACAAAGTTGCACTCCTGCCTTAAGGGACTACAGTAATTCTTTATCATTTGAGTCAAAAATTCAACAGATTTTCAACAGAGTGATCTGCAAACCAGACAGCAGAGCCTCACATCCTCTGCAGCTGTGGCCCAAATTCAAACCCTGCTCTTTTTTTTTTTTTCTTTGGCTGCCATGTTACTTATCACAACCAGGAAATGAGATACAGTCAAAGTGTAAGTTTCCACTGACCAGCACATGAAAAAGTCATCTTAACTTTGCTTTAACCATACAAGTCAAGAGTCAGTAATTGACCCTCCGCTCTGCACCCTGTGGCTCCTCTACAACTGCAGCAGTTGCAAGTCTCAACACCTTTTCTCTAAGCTATTAATATTGCAGGTCGTTCAGTTCATGTTCTGCAGCCTTTTAGCCCCTGCACAACACACATGCATGATCTGCAGGAGATAATGAGTGCAAACCCAATTCTCTTAGCAATGCAAAACACAGAAAGGTTGCATTTATAATCTGTTTTCAAACTTCATCTGTGATAAAGTCATAAAAGAAGTTTTGAAGTACCTGGAGCTGGCTGGCTTTCACTCCATTCGCTGGCGACCAGGACCTCGATGATCTTGATGTGTGCATCCAAGCTGGGTTCACAGCTGTGGGAGAGAAAAAAGGGAGAGCTGAATAAATGTTTTACAGGCCAGGTGACAGCCAGCTCTGCTGCCCTGTGCTGCTTTCAATCTGATGCTGAATCAGGCTTAGCTACTTTAATTGTGCAGCACAGCTGGTAAGTAGAAAAGCTCCAACCTATATCCGTGTTCTGCTGAAAGCCATGAGTGCCTAACAGCCTGTGTGTGTGTGTGTGCGCGTGCGTGTGTGCATGTCTGAGAGTCAGTGTGTCTCAGTGTTGCATGACTGAGCCTGCACACTTGTCTGTCTGCCGTCTATCTTTGACAGACCGGGGGCATGATGAATGCGGCTGCTCTGACACCCACCTGGTGGTCTGTTGTCTGAAAAACACGGGGCTGAAGATCTCGCCCAGGGCTCTGGCGCTGAGCAGGTTCTTGGAGCCGTTTTGGCACACACGAGCGAAATGCCTGAGCACACAGTGGAGGGCGAGCCAGTACTGGGGAGGGAGGCTGGGGGTGCTGGCGATGCGACGTAGCAGCTGGGCGCATTCCTCAGGATTCACCACCTCTGTTGAGAAAATGGCACGGGGAGGTCAGCCAGACAGATGTGAGAAATCGATATGAGCGCAGAGCTCCGAGGAGCAAAGATCGAAAGATGTTACAGAAGAAAAAAAAAAAGAGGAGATGGAAAGAAAGCGTCATGTGCAGATCGGTCTCGAAACCACAGAGAGATTGTGCGGTTGACAATGAGCATAAGGTACACTGGCAGGTGATTGGCTGCCTCGAGATGCATGAGATAAACTTTCAGGCTTGTTTTAGTTCCTATTAACCACAGATATCCTGTTTCTGGCCATGTGACAGCACGAGTATGCAGCTCTGCAGAACATGGTGTGGTGTGAGAATTTAGTCTGTGCATGCAACAGAGAGAGTAAGAAAGAGTGAATGGAAAAACCCTCTTATAGTGCACCTTTAATAAAGGTTTACATGTTTATAGGTCTGCTTTAGGGGGCCAAAGGCTGCCGATGAGGTTTTGTGGTTTAGTTGTGCAAAGTACTGAATGTGCAATAGCAAGGGCTCATTACGTCAGAACTTTGGTTTTAAGTCAACTGTCCCAGTTAAACGATCAATGAATATGTGCGAGAGTTGACGACGTTCACCTTTGGCAGTGAGCACCATCTGAGCGTATAGTGCAGAGGGGATGATGGGCTGGGGGAGATCCTGCAGGTACCTGCGCAGACCATCACACAGGACGGGAAGTTCGAACTGATCCAAGTCTGCTGTAGAAGGATCTGCGGTGGAGAGAGAGAGAGAGATGGAGACATGTGCTTCAATGCAAACACTCCTTTCTGCAGAGTTTAATTACAGTCTGTTAAAACTTGATCATGCATGGGTGAAGACAAACACTGCTGCAGAACAGGCTCCACTAATAAACGGCCTTCTCTGCAGATACAGGTACAGATCTTTCTCTGTCATGTCACACATTTCACGCGGTTTTTCTCTGCATGACTGACGTAGGCTCACTCTTTAGACTTCCTCTGTTCTGTATTTGTCTCACACGCTCAGTTTTTGGAAACTGTGAGGTTTCTAGAAGTAAAGTAAAGACGGTGAGGTTTATAAAAAGCTGCTTACCGCAATCAAAATACTGCCTGACTTCAAGTCCACCACCAGCAGTGAAAGTTCGGTACAAAGTAGGGTTATCAAGACCTGCGAATAATGAGCGAGACATAAAACAGTAAATCAACGTGCTGATTAAACTGACACCATTCTGTGTGCATGTGTGAGTCTGTGCAACAGGTGAGAGCTGCAGTCCCCCACCTTTCCTTTCAACAGCCTCCAACAGTTTGGCGAGCACGGGGGGAGCTGTCTCTGGGAGGGAAAACTGCTCCGTCAGGTCCAGCAGACAGGAGCCTGGGGGAGAGAGTGACAGATTGTTAACCCCAGTGAAGAATATTACACCAGCCCACTGAGTAACAGTGGTGTGAAACATTAGATTACACAATGGTAATATTAGCACCAATAATGCACCACTTCTGCCTGTGAAGGCAGTGAACCAAACATACGAGCGTCTCTCTATAAGAGAGGCTGTGTCACGGAGAGTCATGCATTTTAATACAAGTGTAAAATCGGCCTGGACCAAATATTAGCATGGGAGATACTTTGGATTGGGGCCGGTGATGAACTGAAAATTTACAGATACCAAAATTTATGACAATAACTGACGTCATTTTGCCCATATCGGTATATTTGGTGTCAAAAAATAAATACATAAAAGTTGGTTTTGGATGTGTGTAGGTAGGCTATGGTCTCATGTCCCTTTAAGACGCTGTCCTACATCAGAGACGTGACTCCACCCAATCAAGTAACAAAGAGGGAAAGACAGGTGAGGAGATGGAGGACGGTTCAAAAGTTGGAGCGGCAGCTGAAGTAGGCAAAGTTAATGTGGGAGTGGGTGAGCAGCTTGTGGAGTAGTTATCGTCCATTTATCATTATGGCAGTGAACTGCTCAATATATCGTGATATTGATTTGAGGCCATATCGCCCAGCCCTACTTTGGTGTGAAACATATGGACTGTGCTGACGCAAAGCCTCAAAACCTGAAGATATCCAGTCTTTCATGACAACAGAAGCAGCCTGTCTTCTCATGCTGAGTTTGTTTATTGATATCAGTCAATTTAGATGAGCCAGACCAGCAAAGTACATGCTAATGAGGGCTTGATCATTAAGTTTTCTTATTTTGATTCATAATGAAGCTCTATTTTTGAGAAATCAACAACAAAAAAGTTAGGATAAGACCGCTGGTGTTGAGATAAAATATGAATAAACTTCTGTAAGTGGCATGGAAACTCTTTTGTAGATACTAACAGCAAAACTTTGTGTATTAAGTGCACCCTTATATCTTTTTAAGCCTCCCAAAAGTGAGCTGTGCCCTATAAAAGGATGTTAAAAATGCATAGAGAGGAATTCAGTGTTGCAGTATTTCACCCGGAAGCTGGCAAGAGACTGTTCAGCAATGCAAAGTATGCTGGATACCCAGCAGCATACCAGTCTGGCTGTGCAACTTTTATAAGGCTCATCTCCCTCATAAGGTCATTATCATGCTTTTATAGAAAACTTTGTAGGAAATAACTCTATGGAGTTCTGCTTTGAGTGGATTTAAGGTGCAAGTCTCATGTCTGTTACAGCTGCTGCTATTGAGTTCAGCTACAGTGGAAAGTATGGGTGGACCATTATTGGTTTTGTCAGAACTGAAACCGATAACAACAGCTCGTGACACCGATGACTGATATTTGAAACCAATAAGCATTTTTAGCGTAAAGGAAAACAATGCAGAATTTGGAAAATTAGAAGAGTTTGTATAAATACCTTCAGCAAATGTTTAATTAAACCTGAAACTCTGGACATGTGCTCCTGACTGTGTGCATATCACTGTCATGTGTTGTTTAGCCAATCAGATTGAGTTGTGGGTGGAAAAAATGGGTTAGGCAGAGTGGTGAGTGAAAGCTAACTCAGACAGGAAGACACACATGCAGCAGAGACAAAGTAGCACACTATGTTATTTAAACTATTCTGTCCACAATTAGAGCGAATAATCAGAATTAAAGGGTCGATCAGAATAAAAATGCCTCATGTAAACATGTCGATCGGAAAATTCTGATTCAATTCGGCTCAATCGGAAAGTGATTGTTTCCCGATTGAGAGGGGTGGTTTATTCCGATCATTATTACGAAACTTCATCCATGTAAACACTTATTCCGATCGTGACTCTCTAACCTGACTCAGTCTTGACTTTTTATTTATTGAGGTCAGTACAGGAGGTTTCATTATTAACACTCTAGTACAACACAGAACCGCAGGTGCTGTTCCTGCTCCTCCGATAACATAACAAGGCGTACATACAGCGGGATGATGTCACAGTAGCGCCATCTAGTGACAAGATTTAACAGGGGAAAAATCCTGAATTGGATGAAGTGAGCCACTACCGTGTTAATTGGTTTGTTGACAGCACAGGCATAAATACAACTCTCTTCTTCTGCGGTTGTTTTAGCGAAATTAGACAACTCTGCGCATGTCCAAATGCTTCTAATTTGAATAAAACTTGGAGCATGTTTATGTGATCAGATTATTTGATTTTGCGCTCATATAAACAGTTGATTCAGATTTTCCGATCCCTCAAATGTGTTATCGGATGACGAAATGTTGCACTTGAAAACATGGGTAAAAAAACAGAAGGGCTACACAGCTGCACAAAAACTGCACATTGTGGACTGATTCAGACTTCTAAATCTAGAGCTTGAATGATCCCAGTCTTTATGATTTATGATGAAGATAGCCAACAGCTATTTTCCTTCTCATGTCAAATATAAAAATATCTTCCCCTGCATGTTAGCACAGAGCTGCTTTGTCTAGCCAGATGTTAATCTAAAACTGCAGCGTAACCATGACTCTGTGAGATTATTGTCTGGCTCTTTCCTGGTTTTGGGGTTTTTCTTGTCTGATTTCCTTCTGAGTTGAGTAATCACAATGACTCAGGTTTTATAGGGATATATTTCACTGAATTTCCTTGTTCTTTTGATAGAAAACTGAAAGTAAAAGTGCCCCTCGCTGAGATGAAATGGTCATTTAAAAAGCTGTGATTAATGCTCCTGTGACACTCGCTGGTGAGGGGTTGTGATTCATCCAGAGCTGCAAAGGTTGACCGAGCGCATGACTTACTAACTGCTCAGACCTTCAAAGGAAGCAGGCACGAGACCAAAGGCCTGCCTTCAAAAAGTAAAAGGTGAGTATTTACAACACCAAAGTCGGGGCTTTGGTGGACCAGGGAGCTAAGCAAATACCCTGTGATATGAGGTAAGCCAGGTCTGAGTTTTCCCCCTTTAGAACTCTGCGTCCAGGTGTGGACATGAAAGGATGAAGGGGTTGGCTGGGGTTTTATTTGGATTTGGGAAGGCGTATTTTGAAAAGACACTTTACTAAAAGGCTCGACTGTTCTACTCGAGGTCTGCAGTTTCAAAATCTAGACAAACTATGAATGGACGTCTTTCTTGCGACCGTATTTTTCTTTCTTGCTGCCTTAGAAAATTATTACAATTTCTTGAAACGGGCATGAAAGTGGGCATCTACCGGCCCCATTGATGCATGCGTGCTAGCCGCTGCCAGAGGAACTACCCTCTTCCCCCCAAAGAGTGTTCAGTCGGGCAAATAATGAACCACTTCTTCCAAATCCACATCCTCTTTGGCCAGCGGAGCACACAGGCTGGCATGTTGCGTGTGAAGGGATCTGGCTCACCGAAGTCCTCCTAACCACAGAACACACAAAACTGCATGTAGGACAACTGGTCATCTGGAAGACATTATTGGGACTGCAATGCTGAAAAAGGGAGGAGATGGGGTGGGGGTGAAATGGGTGGGGGATTGAGGGGGATTCTCAGAAGCAATGAACTCTGAGATGGAACACTAGAGTTTCCCTAAATAGAGATGGAGACACGCAGGGTTGCCATTGCACACCTTGAAAGTGTAGTCTTGCTCCCAGACAAGATATCTAACACGGCTGCCATTCAACGGCCAGCCTTTTTCTCAGAAACTCAATTCACAACCTGGAGCTAAAATTAACCGCGACCCACCCAAGCACAAAGCCCAGATCCATAAAAATGACCTGAAAGCTGCAGCTCAGGGTGGGCCTGTTTCGGTAAACATGTCTAACGGTCATCTTATGGATAGCTAACTCGTATGTAAGTCTTAATAGCAACACAAACAATAGATTCGGTTCAAAGCATCTGCCTTGGATTCCTACAGTAGCTTGGTGATAACTGCTAAAACAAGAGGACATCCAAACCACTCTGAAGGTTTGTGTTTATTTTCTCCATCCACGGTTGGCCTTTGAGTGACACCGGACAGGCCGCAGATAGAGTTGCTTCTCAGTACTGTCAACGACGTGAGAGTTTCGGCACCGATGGAATTGTATCGAGTGGCAGATGAACTATGGCAGTAATGTTTGGAGCTATCAGTGATGATTTCTCAGATGCCTTGGCGCGGGATCAAACAATTGACGTGCCTGCGTTAGGCCGGTGCTTATATCCATGGAAACGCTCATAAAAACAGGCATAAATCAGACGCGTTTGCAGTGCGTATGCCAGAGGATCAATTTGAACAATGTTGGCAAACACAAGACGGGGATCTTCCTGCATCTCTGAGAAAAGACTCTGTAGTGGGACTCACTGCATAGGCTGTTTCAATGCTGCATCCACAAATGCACGTTAAATCAGTGCCATTCGTAAACGCATTTGACTGCACTGGCTGCAAACTCTTGCACCAGGCAGTATAAATCAATGCCAGAGATGTCCTGAGTAATCCTCTTTGTATCGCTGCAGTGATAACACAATGTAATACCATTGTCCGTCTGTGTTTAAAGCAGCTCAGGGGCTGCACAAATCACACAAGACATTTTCCACGAAAGTCAGTTTCTGTGGCAACATGTGGGAAGGAGAGTGAGGAGGAGACAGGGGGGCCCCTTGGACGAGTCCATGCAAGCCTCCATGTTATGCAGACCTTCTCATCATATCCCAGAGGGCCTCAGCCAGTCAGTAGTCAGTTAGACAACCGCAGGTCGAGGAAACAGTCAGTGCAGCTGCCACTGCTGCTGCTGCTGCTGCTGTGGTGTGTGTATGTGTGTACTGGGGGTGAACCCCCCCTCGAAACGGTATGTCTGAAGCGAACAAACTGCAGACTGTGGGCAGGACAGGGCTGGGGCACCATGGACACACTAAAGATAGCACTCTCTTTGGATAAATTTAGAGGGGCTGCTCAAGTAACCAGCATTTTCAGGTTGCACTGTTTCTTCTCGGCCTAGCAGAGGCGAGGCAGTAAAAATTAATAACCCATGGAAAGTACCTCACAGCACACAACATGTAACAGCACATTATAGAGCAGTGCGTGCAATGCAACATAAAATGCATTTCACATTCTAGGAAAAAGGCATAAAACTGGATTGTCTGGAGGGTGTAACTGAAACTGAAGTGATAAGCAGGCATCTAAGTGAAACTCCTGCTAAAGGAAGTTTCAGGTGAAAAAGCTCTCACAGGCCTGCACTGTAAGTTTATACTGGAGGCAGCTTCGAGCTGAAGTCACAAAAAGAAGCAGGCAATGTCTCCCCCTGCAGGTTACACCACGTGGTGCGCCTGCTACACAGCAGCCAATGAGGAGACTGTTGCTACAGCCTGATGATTAACCCTATAAAGAGCCGGCCGTCAATGAATCACCACACCTACTCACTAAACCACAGTTTCCTGATGCGCAGCTTAACCATGAATCAGTCTTTCAGCCGCTCACATTCTGCCAAACACGCACGGTAATTACTGCTTCGGAGAACTTCGGGTTTCTGGGTTTGCATGCGAGGAGGAGCAGCACTCTCACAAATGATGAAGCCTCTTAATAAGATGAAGCTTGCAGAGACCTGCAGCTGGAGATTTACTGTGATGATGCTGGAAATGTTATTCATCAGCTGCAACATTTACATCCACGAAGCCTGAAGGTTGTGATCTTACATAAGGCCACAAAGCACACTGACTTTTTAATGCAAATTTTACCTTAAAATGAATTATATTTACCCTAATTCGTTTAAAAAATAGAAGTTATCGACTATCAAAAAATTACTGACTATTGGGAGATTACAACACTTCTTCATCCTGAGGACAAAACATTCATTTAAGGTCATTTTTAATTTCTTCTCTGATTAAAAATTAAAGATAGGAAGATTTCTACATCAATTTTACTTATTTGAGGTTAATTTGAGCCATTTTTTCCATGTGTCTCGCTGAGAAACAGGCATTGAAACCCATTGAAAACCTATGTGAGAAGTTCAGGATGTGCAAGTTCTGATTCATAACATTTACTGACCATCAAAGTGGCAAATTTATGAATTTTTGATGACAAATTTAGAGAAAAATTTGGTGCATTAGTTAGCTTTTTCAAGTCTGCAGATAAGAAGTTTATTATTTCAGTCATTTAAACAAACAAGTCAAACATTCCTGGTTTCTAAACTTTCTTTTCCTTCATTATCAAAATTACGAGTTAAATTGTTTCAGGCTGTTCATTTGGGGCTCTTTTAATATGTTATGATCATTTTCCCTTACTTAGTGACTGTCAGAGTTAACAAATCTATCATAAAGTTAAATGTGGGGTTGTCATTTTGATCATGCAGGTGTTTTATATCAGTGATAGTTAATGTGTAACTGCAGTGTGAGCTCTGCGCTGAAAGGGTGAGCTCTAACTTCTGAGTTTTCCTTGGTGGAGCAGTAAAAGCGGTCTGTGCGCTGCAGCAGTCCTCCTCCGTGAAGTAATTGCTTCTATTTTTAATTGAACCGACTTACAGTATGACCTATACAGTGGAAATAAACCCCCGATGAAAATAACGGAGGCTTTCTGAAGCCAGCCTGTGATCTATGTTGTAGAGGGAGTTATGTAACGCCACACCTCCACAGCACGAGGCTGACACAGCTCACCTAGCCACACTAGCTGGTCCACCTCCCTCCCTCCCTCCCTCCCTCCTTCTCTGTCAAGTTCAGTACATAACTCACATACCTTTTGTGTTCCTCTTGACTTTGTTTCTCACTAATCTGACTTGTGTCTTTCTGCACCACTTCTTCAAGTCCACCACCAGACTGTCTCCTTCTGCCTTATTCTCTCTCTCTCTGTCTCTCTCTGTGCCCGTCTTAATCCTGCTCGCAGACATGCTCCGACTCCACTAAAGAAGATTTGCCAATTCAGACTTGGGTCTCTGCACACAATCAAGTAATGAAACAGTTATACACGCTTTCATGCACACTAGTCTGACTGGATTCATAAACTAATGCAGCTCTGAGAGAGGGGAAAAAAATCTAATTACAGTGTTGATTTTATTGAGCCCTGAAATTACATCGCTTCTCTTTTTTCCCTCCATCACATCACTGAGCGGTAAGATATTTTTAAAAAAACGGACATAATTACAGAAGTTGAGGATATGTCACTTTTTTTTTTCTCACCACTTTGCACAGGAAGCACCCGCTCTAAGTAGCTGAGTGTAGAGCCGTTGTACTTTTACCCTGACTTTTATAGGGCTCTAAATATATATGAGGTTATGTAATACCGGAACTTTCTTTGTGAATTGGTTTTTTTAGTTAATGGATGGAAAACTAACCCTCAGTTAGTGCGTTTTTCAAGCAGAAGTGGCCTGTTTGTCTGTCCTCCTGTTTCTGTAGAGATGAACTAAATATCTCAAGGGTTTTAGCTAATGGCTGGAATTATTTAGCTAGTTTACTACAGGACCTTAAGTTTAAGAAGTGATTTGTTGAGTGTGTTTCACTGGTGAGATGTCCAGGTTAACTCAACTGAATGATTAAAAGTCTGCATTTGTTTTTCAAACAGTTATTTGTCAGTTTGCTAAAAATGCTGGTATGCTCTACAACCTGGGTGCAAACAAGCACAGATAGTGAGTTTTTATGCATTTCTATTATACCAGCATTTAGGGCTGGGCGATATGGCCTCAAATCAATATCACAATATATTGAGCAGTTCACCTCCATATCGATAAATGGATGATAACTACTCCACAAGCAGCTCACCCACTCCCACATTAACTTCATCTACTTCAGCTGCTACATCTTTTGAACCGTCCTCCATCTCCTCACCTGTCTTTTTCTCTTTGTTACAGACTGAATGGGGTGGAGTCACGTCTCTGACGTAGGACAGTGTCTTAAAAGGACATGAGATCATAGCCTACCTACACACATCTAAAACCAACTTTTATCTATTTATTTTTTTGACATCAAATATACTGACATGGGCAAAATGACGTTGGTTATTGTCGTAAATCAATAAATTTTGGGTTTATTGCCCAGCCCTACTAGCATTTAAGAAGTCACCAGCACAGTTCACCCACTCTTCATCCACTGACTCTGAGATCCTGTGTTTAGCTGTGTTTGTTAGCTGCTTTGGATCATCTATTCTTCAATACATACTTTATTGATCCTGAGGGAAATGTCGGCCAAACTACCAAGGCTTTTTAGGGCCAGCTAGCGAGGGTGAAGTTAAATCATTCAGGCCTTGTGTGGACAACAATGGTCCCATTAGAAATGTGAAAGTTCTTGGGTTAGCTGGAAGGTTATTAATCTCAGTATAGCCAGCAGCAGAAACGCTGCCTTTATAGTCCTCTTAGTCGTGCATTGATTTTTAATTTGGGAACATGATGTTGAGTGAATGAGGCTGTAGCATCACTGTTTTCACAGGGTTACTGTGTTGCCGCATTTTCAAAGATTCCTCTTTAAAACCTGGATTTGAACGTTTGCATTTTCAGTCGACCAAAACACTATTTTTAAGTGTAAAGGCAGCCTAAATTCTTTCATGAATAAGTTACATGAACTGATATTAAAGTTTAACACCTAAAAGTAGAAATGGTTAACAACGTTTAAAGTTTAATTGGTGAAATTATCCTCCCTCCAGCAGCCTCTGCTCTGATACCACTGTAGGTGTACACCAGCAATCACTGGGGTCCCATTCAGCGTGCTACCATTTATTGTCCTGTTGCATTGTGCACCAAGCTACTGCAATCAGCACTTAGCACAATACTGATTCATCACAAAGCTACAAATCAGTCTACCCATGCAGTCTGTGCTCGCACCCCTGCAGCAAAGAAGCGCCAACACATTCCTGTCCTCAGATGCCTTTAGGCCCACACAGGAACATTATTATATAAACTTCAGCTGGCATCGCTCTGTGCCACTGACTCGGACGGACTTTGTGATCTGTGACTGTCCTCTCTGGAGCAAAAAATGTGAGATGCATTCCAGTGTGACAGCAAAAGTTACAACTTGTCCTACTTAAGACAAGAGCGAATTCTTTGCAGTGAAAAATCGACTGACAGAGAGAGAGTGTTCAATACAGCAGATGTCAGCGTGAGCGCTCAAGAGGCCCAGAGAAGGAGAGCCACATTATCTCAATCTCCAGCTATGCAGCGTACTCTCCCTGCAACTGTCTCCTTTGTACAGCCAGCTCTCTTCTTTCCAGTAGCCCCTTTTCGAAATGTTCCTGTCACACGCAAAATCCCAACATCTTCCACCCAGATGTTGCTCAAACTTTATCTATGCCAAAAACGATGATAGGTCTACAAAAAAAGTTGGATGATTCACAAAAAAGTACTTTACAACAATCACACACACAACAGAAACTTTTAAACTACAAGAAAAAGGTTAAAAAGTTCAACTTTACTGTCTGTTCCCAGAGGAGCTGAATGTCGTGCAATGCAAATTCAGTTACATGAAAACTGGAAACATAAGAAGCCTCAGACAGAGAAAGAGGAGATGCCCGATGGCATCAAATATTTCCTTCCAACAAGCCCGAGCATGCAGGCTGATCCTTGTGAGAGCACGCAGAGTAACAACCCGTTTTTATCATAAACATTAGGAGGAATGCTCCCCTCAGACCGACTGTTGGGAGATAAAGAGCAATTATACACACACACACACACACACACACACATATACACACACAAACGTTTCACCAAATACAGCCAACACCTTAGTATTAGACATGGCTGCTGAGCTTTAGGTTTGCTTTTTTAGCAGCAGTTTATGATTCAGCCCATTTTTCTCTGTTCTCCACTAAAGCTAAGTTTAGACAAGAACTTTGGGATGTGACGTGATGCTTTGTCCAGGTGTAAGGGAGGTGATCTACTGGATTTAAAGCACAAACTCTGCATTAATCAGAGGCTAAAATCTTTGTTTCCAAGTTTATGAAATTCCGTTGGTAAAGTTAATCATGTCCATCTTGTGTTTCCTTCTCTTTTTTTCTTTGTTAACACTCACTCATGGTGCTTTTGTGTAAGTATGACTTTGGGTAAAGTTCTTCAGCCACTTCTGCATTTTTTTGTGTGAGTATGAAGAAGGTAAACGATGCTTGGAGCTGAGGTTAGAGCGGCTTCATTCTATGAGTTCCTTTCTGTGCGGAGGGCCCACCGACACATGCATATTCTCTTGACTGAGAGGCCCAGAAAAGGAGCAACACTTTAAAGTTTCAAAAAAAAAAAGAAAGGCTGAGAGCTGGAATGAGGCGGAACAGTTTCCCAGCCTAGCCCTCCTCTCTTTCTCTCTTACCCTCTCCACATCTGCTGCACTCATGTAAACCCCTGTGGCTCAGAGAGGAGAGGCCCCCTTTCCAAAACCTCCATTCCCCCTACCAGAGCTGACTGTAGGAACTATCAAAACATTAAAAAAGAGAAGTAGGAGGAGGAGGGGGAAGGGGAGGATGAAGAGAAGAAAAAAAAAGGCTGAGGAGGAGTAGGAGGAAGGGGAGTGAGATCCCTTGGTGGCGGGCAATAAATCACAAACACTCTGGGAGCAACAAGAGCCCTGCCTCCATCTCAGAGCCCCTCTTCAAAGCCCCCTTGAGCATGCATGTCCCTCCGTAGGCCCCCCAAAGCACCCTGCGCCTGCTTCAGCCCCTCTACCAAGCCCCCGGCTCCGCTCCAGTCCTGATCCTTTCGCACACCATCCCTTGCACCGACCCTTTAGCAATCAGAGGGTCTCTCTCTGCCTTACCCGCAACCTCAGGGGCCCCTTTTCCTCCCCCCTCTGCGTGTCTCTCACAACCCAGCACACAGAGACTTTTCTTCTCCCGGTGCTACATTCACACTCGCTCCAGGCTCAGCGCTGCCACTCAACCACAACACAGCCATTCAACACATGCCCCCTTCATACAGCTCCCTCACTCACCCTGCAAACCACAGCAAAGAATTTCACAATCGCACCACAAAAGGCAGAAACTAGAAACCTGGCAACTACAGCTGCTCTTTAGGTGAGCAGAAACGCTTTCAGCGCACATTCATGCGAAGCCGCAGCGTCTTTAAAAAGATGCACGTTTTAATTGCAGGGTTGTGGCCTGAGCGGTAACACTGATTCAGATTTCTGAGGGTACTTTTTACACGCAACCATCTTGAAATTCACACAACTTGAACAAAATGGCACATGTCGGTGTCTAGTACATAAAACTGCAGCTCTAAATCACTCGCTGGAATAACCCTTTAACTACAGCGCACTGTCTAAAGATGTCACAGAAACCCTTTTAAATAGTTTAATTTTAAAGAACAGCTCAATTTCTGGCTGGTTTGTCGTCTTCTTGGAGTATTTCCTGATCTAGTTCTCGATGTCTGACCCTGCTGCTAAGCTAGTCACAACCCCATTGTGAAAAGGGGAGCAGGCTAAGCTGTTTCCCCAGGGTTCCAGGGACTAAGCAATTTGCCTTAATCACCAGTACATAGTGATCTAATCATCCCTCGCCACACTGATAAGTGAATAATATTCCCTTAAGATGTGGCTTTGTGAAGGAACACAGATGATATCCACTTGTAACATATGGCTGGCACAAGATGCTCTGGTGTACTCTGGTCTGGCTACGGGCCAGCGCCATTGTCCTCTGGGAATCAGTCTGGCTCACATTCAGCGCAGCTGTACAGCACAAGGCGGAGATACTTGTTGCAAAAGACCGCCAGCGTTTTTGCAGGATCAGCATCTTTCTGCTTCCTAAACGAGCTGAATACAAATATTTCAGTTGGTGGTGTTTTAACTCAGCGGCTTATTGCCCTTTCAAACTTTCCATGTTCCCTGATCCGAACCGGGATTACGGTTGTGAAACCAGCCCTCGGATCACAGTCCAAACCAAACAGCCAAACCTTTGTCAAACCAGAAGAAGTGGTCTAAGTATACCAGACCATGTTTGGGTTTGCTTGCGGCTTGAAAATGTCTCGGTAAGTTTCAGACATACGAAAAAAAAAAAAACAGCTATCATATGAATTTCTAACAGGGATGCGAACGCCACAAAACCAATGAGCCTGGAGCGCACTGATGGCACATCCACTGATACCACATTTGAAAACAGTCTGCCCTACTTTTCAGCTACTTTTGAAGAGCGTGTGTTTATTTTGGCGCCCCCTGTGGACAAAGAGGCCTTTTTAATATCTCTTCTGATTTTGGTTAAACACATTTCGATGCTTTTGGTGCCATCTTTTTCTTCCCATCTATGAGTGCTCATTAAGAACGGTGAGCGGTGGTTGATTGGTCATGCCTGCCAAGAGTAGCGCAGAAGCAACCCTCTATAGCCGACTTCAACAAGCACTCGAGGAACAGCAGTTTGTGGCTCTTCCACACCAGCTTCAGTTTTCTGCTTGAAGGTAACGAGTGCCTCTTAATCTGGACATCCAGCTGTGTTATGTACGAATACTTGACTGCACACTTTGGGGCTTGCTGTAAAGCTGAGGCCGCATACCGCTACTAGACGTGTTGGAGGTAAATAACAAACATGGCGATGCTCAAGAAGTTGCTCTTATGTTAAGGTGACAGTAGCAGGGATGTAAGGCCTCCAAAGGCTGTTGAATGCTCTATCACATCACACCTTCTGATTTTAAATCGGTTAACATCAGCCTTCAATCTTAGTGCTTTATTGTTAAATGACATGAAGCTAATAAACATAAAACCAGAAGGACTAGTGAGAAGATGAGGAGCTTTTAGAGGCCGCCTAAAGTTAGAGGAAATGAATCTCCTGAGGTTGGCGATGTTGATGGTGATGATGATGCAGGGAGTGTGGATGGAGGCTGCAGGTTCCTAACTTTCATCACATGCAAACTCACAGTGATGGTGTTTATAAGCAAAATAAATACTGATATATTTGTGGTAGTGCTTGTGCTCCTTAATTTTGCTGGTTAATGGTCTTGGTTTAACTCACCTTGCTCTGAGTCCGAGTCCGCCTCTGTCTTGTAGGCCCCTGGAGCAACAGGTAAGGGTCTGAGGGGTCTTGGCTTAGGCGTTGGGGGAGAGATCCATTTCTTTCCAACATACTCAACATATGTCCCAGGGAAGTCCCCCTTTTCCTGAGTGGTTTCATTGAAGCCTGGCAGCCAGCCAATCTCATTAGGTCTCTGCTCGAGCCCATCAGTGTACCCGAGAGCCACCAGAGCTCCTTTACTCACCAGCAGTATATCCCCCACATGCAGATTAATGTCCTCCTCCCTCTCCTTCTTGTAGTCATACAGGGCTCTGTACTGATAACCTTCTGCGCTCATATTGATCACTTTGTGTCACTGTCTTATGCGTTTGTTGAGCTTCGCTGCAGCAAAGTTACTTTTCAGGTTCCTCTGAGTTTGTGTTCAGTCCAGGCACACATTTGCCGTAGGTGTTTTCTTCCAAGAAAGCTAGACCTCGACAGTTCTTTGAAGACAACTCGATCTAGCTGGTCTTCATTCTTTCACAGGTCCTGTCTCTTGTAAATGATTTCCAGTTCTCTTGGTGTGCTACCTCACAGTATGTACCCATCAATGAAAGGACTGCAGCTGTGATCTTCAGAGTGCTACCAAGACCTGTAATAAGATAATAACAGGATTCATAACAGGCGATAAAAAGACGTGAATCAGACAGAATAACTTTATAAAACTGTGTAAGACACTGAAGCTAAAGAAAGGCTACTTCATCTGGACTTATTCCAGTGTGTGCACAATCTACAGAGTTTAAGCACTTGTTTTAAATTGCATTATCTATTCAGATTACCTCCATGGCTTTGGCAAAGGCTCATTTGAATCCCTTTAATTTATCTGTAATCACAGACCCTTCATAAAAAATGCTGATGATTAAATGCTCTACGGACCTGATTACATTAGTATTCATTTCTCTTATTCTTATCAACTGGAGCAACGTGACAACCCTAAAAGTAAATTATTCACTTCTCATGCATAATGCTTTTCTCTCTGGTTAATTTTTGATGCTCGCTGGCACACTACAGCCCTGTTCAGCCAACATATGGTTGCTAACATTAGCACGTTGCGTGACTGCTTTACTTCACGACGCCGCCACAGTTACATAACTAACAGCAACTTCTCTGGTATGTTAATGACACTAAGTGTGTGAGGAGTAAACTTGAGGACTTTTAAATTGTTTGAACTTTTTTTTATTACATCTTAAGAGGTTCACACGCTGCTGGCTTAGACACTTAGACACAGTGTCACAAGTGAATGACATTTATTCTCCCATTAAGTCTCCTCTAATTATATATACTTTCCCTGCTAAGATTACTTATGGTGAATACTTTAATAAATTTGAAATATAGCACACTGGGCTAAATCTTTTCAGCTTGAATCCTTAGGAATTAAAAGCAAAAAGTTTCTTCAAAGTCGGATTTTAAAGGGACAACACAACTGCAAGTTTCTGTTGGCCATTAATTGTATTTTTGACAATGACATAATAAAAATAGGAAGCTTTTGTTTGCATGGGAACAACATTTGAGGAGGCTGAAAGCATAAACCGATTATAGAGTCGGCTCTTTTGAAATAATCATCCCTTCTGTCACTATGTAAACTAAAAATACACAAACTTTGACGTCATGGCCCCATTCACAAACCTATATATGTATTTATATGTACTCAAATACTGTTGAAAAAAAACAGCATTCAGTATTCTTTAGGGAAGCATAACTTTCTACCTCTAACTGCATGCATACAACAACGTTTGCAGTCATTTTTGCAAATCTGTATGCAGATTGTTCGCATTAATGTTGTTGCTTGATTGCAAAAAAATGACTTTTCTATGTTTAATGGCCTAAGATAGTGTGCGGGACTTATATTGCAAGTTTTAACTAAATGGTTCCTGTCTTATCAATGGTACCTTTGGAGTATTTTGAGATGACTCAAAAGTACAGACAGAAGAAAATGTGCAAATAAAATTCCAACAAATGCAAAAAGAGCCACTTCAACACACCTCAAGGGCTAAATTTGAACGTAAGTGGCATCTGTGTCTCGGTCAATAGTGAATTAAGAGTCAGGGTTATGGGGTGGCCAATTACTTTGCAAATGGGGCCTGCGCCACCCCTGGCTGCCCTCCAGACTCGCCCCTGGGAGCAGGGTTAACAGTTGGCTATGTTAGCCAGCGAGCTAGCAAGTATCAGCTTCTTCTGGTCAGTTTGCGTTACATAGCCGGTCGCCTATTTAATAACACACAAATGATGGTGAATTCATACTTATATTGTGAGGTGTTTTGTACAAGAAACAAGAAACGCCGATGTAAAAGTAGAAGATAAGTCAAGGAATGCAGCAGTATAGACGAGAAAAAAGGGGAGACTGTAAGTTAACGAAAGAGTACAAAGTAAGTATTGACCAAAGAAAAAGATAGGTTAATTTATCCCAAAGGAAACTACTAAATTTATCACTTTTTAACGGTGGTGTAATAAGGTGTAATAACGGTGGTGTGGCAGCAGCAGCAGCAACGTTACATACCGAGTCCGCATGAATCCACAGGCGAATCCAGCGAGTCCTCTCCGCTTCGATAACACTTGATTAAACTTGAGAGAAGCGTGATACTATTAACAAACTGCAACCCTGACGAACTCTTTCACCAACAAGGTTAAAAACAACAGTCCTTAGTTGGCGTTTAAATCCGTTTACCGGGCAGGACAAACTGTTACAACCAGCAGTCTGTCCGCATAACGGCACGGCTTCCCCCGTCCTGAACAAATGCTCCCTTCAACGTCGCCTCTGCGGCCAGCGAGGGGCAAGACAAAGCACGGCCCATCATTGGCCCGCGTCTCTGTCAATCATTAACGTCTCCCAATTGAACCAATCAGACTCTCGCTCGACGCAGACACTCCCCTCTTCCATGTACTATTGCACGCAACATAAAACACCTATGGAAATTACATAACTGCTGCACGCAAACCTACTGTTAACCGGTATCCTAAAGGTTTTTTAAACCAGCATGTGCTCTTAATCTTGGCAGGGATTATTTTCACTGCCTTATCAGCCAAAAAAAAAATCAGAATTATGTAAATATATCACCTTACTCTGTGTGAGATCATGTAAGATAGGCACTCTACTGTGAAATAACAGTCCCTTTTTATCTCTTGTTTAAACCACCAGTCAAAAATAGTTCATTAAATCACATGTGAAATAAAATAATACATACAGCAACACAAAACCAAAAACTAGACCTCCTGTGAGCAGCCAGCACACCATGTAACCAAGCTCAGCTTGTTTATACAGCCAATGTTTTCACTTTTTTTTTTGTCTTTGTAACTCATTACATGTTCCCAGTGTAGAAGGCACCAAAATCTTACACAGTCACCATCTGAAGCACATGACTGTGAATGTGGGTGGCCTAATTATGGAAGAGAGAGAAGGCTGGCTTGCAGAAATCCCCTATCAAGTATAAACCCTACTGTCCTGGCTGTGCTAAAAGAGGCCGTAAGCAGCTTTGGAGGTGGGTAGGCCCCTTTTGAGTGTTATGGCGTCTCATAACAGGCATCAGTCGCCATCACCACTGAGCAAAAGAGGAAGAAGTGTGTATAAAATAGGCAAGCTGTTGGTGTTGAAATCAGCCGTTGCTAGGATCTACAAACCGTTGCTGTGGTGCATTGGGAAACTTAAACAAAATGTACTTTTGATGTCCTTAAGCGAATCACTTTATCATTTCTTTCCGAGGAACTCTACAAATGTTGTAATTTTCATCCACCACGGTAACCACACAGCTACTTCATTCATCTCATTTTTCCATTCATATGTTGCCCTGACAGGAGAGTCAGTTTGTCTTTATCCCAAACGCCAGACCAAACCGTGTCCGGAAGACTAACACTGAATATTAAAGTCAGGGTTTATATTTCCGCTGCAGATGATGGAAATTAATATTCAGACCACCAGACCATGTAATCCCCCTCCCTGCCGGCACCACACCTCACCCCCATAATGAAAAAGCCAGGCCCTGGTGGCCCATCTGCTATCCTGAAAACACCCAAACCACACCTCTGGTAGGATCTCTCACTTTCAGGGTGAGAGATAAAACAGAAGTGCATCATACTTCCCATAAACTCCGTCAAGCTTCATAATGAGCAACTTGTGTTGTTGCTGTGCGAGTTTAGAAAAGGCGGTTGTTTGTCAGACAGAGAGTTACTCATTACATGTTCTTTTTCTGCTGTAACACTGACAGTAAATTTAGCTCATGTGTTTGCTCGGGGTCCTCAACCAGAGCGGTAAACCACTGTGGAACATAAATTTGAGTTATAAAGTTATTTCTAAATAATTTTACAAGTTCTGTTGTCCAAAACTCTTCTCACACATGCACTCTTAAAATTTAAATATAATTATCATGAAGGAACAAGTTAACTATCTCATGTACCACAGTTATTTCCCTTGCAAGAAAAAGTAATTGCCATTTGAAAACAACTGAGATGATTGTGTAAATAAATTGACATTGTGCTTGCAAATAATCATCAAGATAACCACCTTGCTCTTGCAAAACAAAAAACAAACAAACAAAAAAAAAAACGTGCATTCAGTATCATCATCTTGGAGTAACAACTTATCTTTTGCACACAAGATATTTTCCTATGTGGACAAAAGATTGACTTCTGTGCATAAGATGGGAATGTGTTTCAGCAGTTAAATATCATTTAGGATTGAGTGAATATCTTGTGCACATTAAATTATGTTTTAAAAAAAATAAGCAAGACATAACAAGATATTGGGACTTCAGGGGTGTTTATCCTGTCTTCATTTTGAAATATTACCAGGTGGCTGGCAGGAAAAATTCCAGGAATAATCAGGGTGAAAATTTTAGCAGTGTGCTGTCAATATTGCAGCTCATGCAGAAAATTTGGGGAAGTTTTCTGGAGTTTTGCAAATACAGTTTCAGACTGATGAAGAGAAAAAAGTGCTTTAATATAAAATATAAATTAAAGGGAAGTAAAACACGCAAAATGCTTCTTTAACCACACTTTTTAATGTAAGTAGAGCAGCTTTAAAATAATCTACTCAGATATTTTTTCATGTTTAATGCAAAACTAAGAAGCTCTCAATGCAAACCAAACCATACCATAAATAACATTCTGTTTTCCTGCTGTACCCCTTTATCAGTGTTGGGTAATAAGACAAGACATGTCTGTTTATGCTGAGTGCTTCCTTTTCTGCTCCTCAGCAGAAAGCAGGCAGGAAACCTGAACTTGGGTTACATGTTTAGTGTATCTGCACAAACAAGGATCCTGAATGTAGTTTATATGCCTCATAAACAATCAGTAAATCACTCCACACTGTAAATAAATAAAGTTTTGCTCCACAGCTATACTGAAAACTGTAAATAAAGATAAAATATTTGCTGTTTTGAGTGGAAAGTGTCCTGTGTCCTGCTTCTGGATGCATCATGATACTGATAAAAGAAAATAAATCAACAACCTGATCATGAAACAATAGTTAGTCACCTTTTCAGTTCCTGGTAGAGGCTGTAATATGAAAGTAAGTACCACTCTTCTCGTTTAAGGCAGCCCACAGCCAGTAAAATTAGCTTTAAGATAAATTATGCAAACATGCTTCCTCTGTGGTGCACCCAAAGGCGCAGTCAGCTGAGGAAACACAAGTCAGCAGGATCCGGGGCTTACTGTACCAAACAGTACCAGACTGTACTGAACCAAACTGGGCTGCAAGGTGAAAACACATCATATGAGATGTTATGCTGTCACCGAATGGCATTTAATACTTGTGATTGGTCACAACCCTGTAACAGTATATCACCTCAGAAAAAGCAGCAACACAGACAACCTGATCGCATGCGTCAAATCGATCAATTAGCAGAGAGGACGTTCCACCGCTGCCTGTTGACACTGTGGCAAAAACATTAGCTTGTTTTTATCAATCCCAATAATGGACGCACCACAGACCTGCCACTGCCACAAATACTTGTTTTTTTTTCTTAGTTTGGAAAGAGCATTTCAGTTACAGAAAGTGGAAATGGGAAGTTAATTTAGTGGTTATCTAGCAGTCCAAATCTAGATTGAAATGCTCCCTTGCTCACCCCTCCTGTTGGGGAAGCAACGGCGTCCTTCGAGGACAAAAAGCTCCTTCATTCAATGCATGATGAGAATGATCTAGATATGCAAATTCTTTCATGGAAAACAACCACTTTCTACTGACAAACTCGACTAGACAGAAAATAGGTCTGAAACATTACTTACCCTCATTTTCATGGTATGTTTAGCACCTTTGGACCGAGCCAAGTAAGCCATTGCTGTGTGTTTCCAGTCTGTACGGCCAAGCAAATCAACTACAACCTGTTGCTTCATATTTAGTGTACAGACAGAAGAACTGGACCAGTCCATGCTTTTACCTCTCAAAAAAGAGTGATTGAATGTGATGATGACCAACTCTTTGTGTGCGTCACATTGCTTAAATTTGTCCTCTTTTTTTTTTTTTTAAAGAACATTTTCAAACTATTTTTACTGTAAATTAGCCCTTTCAGTTGACATACATACATTCAAGAGCACACGTTGTCCACCCACGGTGTGTCAGACCTCTCCGTTCTTTATTATGGTAATTTTCAAAGTGTGAAGTGCTCTCAGACCACCTACAGTGCCACAGCTGTCCAAAACAGCCCGAAATAGGTCAACAGACTCATCATTTGGAGTAATAATATACTATCCTCAATCTGAGTCATATATACTACGTAGGTACATACATGAATATAGCAGGATTACATGCATTCAAACCCGGACATGTCATGTGAGCACTGCTCCTTTATGTGGATAAGCATGCAGAAAGTCTTAGGATTATTTCACCACTTTTACCCTCTCCAGAACTCATAGCATGAGCTTTGAAGTGTGTGAATTTTTTAACATGTTAGAAAAAAAAGGCTCTTTCTTTTCTTCAGTCTGTCAGAATGGTTTGGCTTTGGGGGGTAGCGTGCTGTATGGGCTCTCAGACACTGAATTAAAGCTGCAGGTACATGGCAGCCGCTCCCTTTCATGTTGCAGCAGTGGGACCTACTTTTTAAAGAATCCACTCTGCATGGATCGGGCCCCTTAAACCATTAATCTATGCGGTGTTTTCAGGCTGTAAATAATGTGTGTAGGGCTCTCAGACTCCCAGCTTTTTATCCCCCCCACCCCACCAACCTCTCTTGCCATTCACCGATTCTTTTACTTTTGTGAGCAAGCTGAGAATTCTCACATGGGTAACCCCATCATGCTTGCTAACATGAGACGAACTTGTGAAATGCATCACCCACCAACGCCTATTCAAACACAAGCAAGAAAAGGGAAAAACAGACACTTCCTCCTTATGCTTTGGTCCCTCCTCACCACAGGAATGGTTTTTCATTGACCATAAACTCAGTCACCTTTCTGCTTTATTAGCACCTTTTCTTCTTCAGGTTCTCATCATACTTTTATTCTGAAGAGCACTTTATCCTTAGAGAGGAATGCGGTGAAAACATGCTAAATCCCATCACTGAATTTGAATAAAAACAGACATTTTATCTCAACCATGTGGGCTGAAATATGCATAATAATTAGTATGCCCATTTATTATGGCATAATTTTTATCAGCATGCATTATATATATGCTTTTCACACGTTCATGCAGCTTAATGATTACATGCTTCATTAAATCAACTCTGCAGAAAAAGGAAAAGACCAAATTGGATTCAGGGTCACACAGAAAGTTACACAGAAATTTTTATTTATCCTTTTTTCTTGCAAATATGATGTTGTAAAATCCAATCCAACTCTTAAAAATGGGTTTAATGACAGAAAAATACAGAGTCTGATGTTTTTTGATAAATTTAAACCATAAATGTAACTTAAAATACTTCAACATATGAAATGTTTGAACAGGAACATATCATTGCTCTATGGAAATATATGCATGTTTTGAATTTGATATAGACAACAGTCTATAGGTTAGTAGGATGACTAACTAAAAAAAAAACATTCAAGTGAATGGGATTGTCAGAGGCTGCTGCCCATTTGGAGTCAATAGATTAAAAAAATATGGAAAACTTCAAAGTTTTTCTAAATATTAGGGTTACATTAGGTATAGGGGTTTTAACCACAATCACAGAATGGCAATCCTCAAGGGAACGAGATAGAGATCTGGGACCAAAACAACCACCTTATTTCATGTACCCCAAGTTCACTGGTACTGGAATGTAGTCTATACAACATTGCATTCAAAAGTTTTAGGCCATTTAAAAATCCCCATTCAAGTGAATGGGATTGTTTGGGGCTGCTACCCTCTATAGCAAGATCGTACAATGCGTTTAGGGTTAGGTTTAGGGTCTGGGTTAGGGGTTAGGGTTAAAACCACTGTCTCAGACCTATTTAGAAGCACAATTCTGACCATTTGGAGTTGTAAGGTACAAAAATAATTAGGAAAAAGTGTTGGGTTACGCCAGGTAAAGGGGTTTAAACCACAATTGTCAACTGGTGATCCTCAAGGTAACCAAATAGAGATATGATAAGAAAAAATCATAATACAGTAGGAAAAAAGTATCATTAAAAAAATGACAAAAATGTCATAGTATAGTATGAGAAAAATGTCATAGTATACTATGATAAAAATTAGAAATTTTATTATGAAAAAATTGCATAGTGTAGTGTGATAAAAATAAAAAAGTTAAGAAAAATAAAAATTTCATAGTACATGGTGATAAAAATTTCAAATTTAAGTATGAAAAAATGATCATAGTATAGTATGACAAAAATATCATACTATAATATGTTATGAATGTCATAGTATACTATGATAAAAATTTCAAATTTTAGAATGAAAAAGAAATCATAGTATAGTATGATAACAAGGTCATAGTAAAGTATGATAAAATGTTCATAATTAAATGTGACAAAAAAAATCACATTTTGGTATGAAAAAAGTAATAGTATGGTGTGGTAAAATGTCATAGTATCGTATAATCAAAAAGCCATAGTAGACTATGATAAAACCTTTGAATTTTAATGTTAAAAAATGTCATAGTATAGTATGTTAAAAAATGTCATAGTATAGTATGGTGAAAATGTCATAGTATACTATGATAACATTTTTAAACTGTAGTATGAAAAAAAATTGATAAAAAAAGTCATAGTACACTGTGACCAAAATTTCATGTTTTAATATGAAAGAAAATCAAAGTATAGCATCATCAAAGGAACACTGGAGATATGAAATAAGATAAGAAATAAACATTCATAGTATATTATGACATAAATGGCATAGTATGGTATGATAAAAATCGGAAATTTAAAAAAATATCATATAACAACAGTTTTTGGTATCAGGGTTTGTTATTAAATAAAAAAAAACTTTCTCCTGATCAATCCCAGCTTGATTGATCCGTCTTGCCCTACCACCCAAAAACTCCTCCTTCATTCTTCGACACCCTAAACAGACTTGGCTTGTGTGCCTGACAGTAACAGCATTCCTGTGGTTTGAAGGCACATGTCTCTGTGCTCAACCATCAACTCATAAGAAGCTACAGACAATGACCTTCTTCTCTGGACTCGACCATAAATCATTCATTTCCAGTATTAGACACAGTTCAAGTGTTTTCTGGCACAAGAATTCCTACAATCTTCAGAGGACACACGCTGATAGATGGCAGATTAGCAGAGTTGGGCTTCAACATATACCTGTCAATCAGGATGTAGTTTATTAAAATCACAAGACTGTATGTGAGATGAGTTGAAAGCTGTAAGAGCAATCATTGTGTCTGAGGTTTTTAATTAAACTGCACGTCTTTTTGATCACATTTGATATATCTGACTGCGTTAAATCAGTGCTTCATCATATTAACATTTTTTTTCAAATGCAGGCAGCAGAAACAGCTTTAAATACAAAAAACACATTATGCAACCTCTATTTACATACTGTTTCTGTATTCAGAAGTCTAGACTTTGGTTTCAGGAAGTGTGCTCGTTTCTGCTTGTAATCTGAGTAGTATTAACCCAACACATATCATCATGGAAAGTAATCCACATGTAACTCTGCTGATACTTTATTTGTCTCCGTAAGCAGATGTCTGCATGTACAAGCAGCCACCAGTCTTTCCAGTCAAATCTATTTTTTATGTTTATTTATAGGCCTTTTTAATACCTTTATTCAGAGGATAGAGAGTCAGACAGAGTAGGAGTGGAGAGTGGGGGATGACACGCAGCAAAAGGATTTGATTTGAACCCAGGTCACCCGTCTGTTAGATGAAAGCCTATGTGCATGGTGGGTGTGATTTAACTGCTGAGATGAACGAGCAACCCCAAGATCGAAATTTTATCTGTAACAACAAATCTGCTTCATATTGTGCTTCAAGAGCCAATCAGCATTTCCTAACTTCCTGAATGAATCAGAAATGAGTAACCACAGTTAAAAAAAAAATATTCTCCTCTCCCCTCGAGGGCACACATAACAGAGCTCGCATTTTATTCTTTGCAGATTTGTATCATGATTCTATTTCAGCAGACTAAAGACATGATCATGGGTTATTTTTGTCCTCTTAGGGTTATATTAGTGAAAAAAGCCTGTAGGTACTTACTTTTACAGTGAAACTGAGATTAAGCAGGAACAAATGATGATGCACTTTTAGAGAGTTCAATGAACTTTTTATTACAAGAAAACAGCAAAAGCCAGAGCTGGGTCTTTGTGTGATGAGCTACTTAAAGTGAAGCTGGGACTGATCGCACTGTGGTGGAAAGAGTACTAAAATATCCTTCATGAGTTGAAGTACAATGAAATTTTATCTTAGTAGTAAACTGCCAGAAAAAGTGTTTGGAAGTCATATCACTCAAATGTATCTTAGTTACAGTGAAACTGGGACTCCCTACAGACTGATTATCTAGGCCTTTTCCGGGTGATGCACTAAACTACAGAACAGCAGCTGTCTTCAGTTAAGGTGGTTTACACTTTGCTTGTGATCTGGACAAAAGATTGCCCCTGAAGATATTAACTTGACCCTTAACATCTAGGCACACAGAAAAGGGAGTTTACACTGTAAAAATCAAACAAAATAAGTTATTTAAACTTAAATAACTTTGAGTCCTGGACTTAAAATTTTAAGTTGATGGGGTTACTTTATCTATTCATAACAAAAGCAAACTATTCCTAATAAATAACCATACTTATTCAAGCTAACTTTAATAAGAGGTTAACCGTCTGGATGTATAATCTTAATTAAAATTAAATATTCTTTTTTACTTTCTTTATTAGGATCCAAATTAGCACCAACTTAAATATAAAAAGTTGGAAAACTTCACATTAGTTGCATGATGTAAAAATAAATGAATATTCAGTTGTTACAAGATTTGATCTAGCTCCAGTTAAACTGACCATAAATCGTAAGTTACCACAACTAAAGCTCCTGTAAGAAATTTTTAGTTTTTTTGTCAATTTTGGTGCCCCCTGTGGGCAAATCAGCCATTGCCTTTTCATGCTAATTAAAACGTACATTAAAAAACATCACTATTGTTGATTTTCTGCGTCACAAAGAGGCATTAATGTAAATTTCAGTCTATTTCACACATTTCAAGAAACTTCTCATTGGAGTTTTAAGTTCATATAGCATCAAATTCACCAGTTAGTCCCCCTCTTGCTCTCCTTGCTTGAAATTGCTGGTCGGGTGGGTGGCTTAAAGTTTGTTTTGAAAGCTTCGTCTTCTGCACCAAAGTGACATAAACCCCCTGCTTTTTCGTCATACCCTAAGCTGCATCTAGAAATTATGCCAATAAAGTCACAGGCTGTAGAAAAAACAACCGGCCCAAGTATAAAAACACTGATTATAACGGCTTTAGCTGCAGCCAAAGGCACATAAGCAGAGGCGGTGGAGAAAAACAAAGTCCTTCTCTGACAGATTGTTGATTCTGCTCAGAGAATCAACATCTTCACAAAAGTATCAGCAAAGCCACAAGAGGAAAAACACTCCTCTTTGAATGGAAGTTTGTACTGACTCTATAGAAATCCACCTGTTTGTACTTGTGAGCACAGAGTGAACAAATACTGAGACATGTGCAAGTTCTACAGGCTCATGACGGTCTACTCTACATGCATTCAAAGAGCGGCATTTGCATGATCATCGTGCTTTAGAACTCTTTCTTCATATTTAAATTAAGCATATTTTGTAGCACCAGTAATATGTTGCAGAGGATTTATGAGCGTGTGTGTGTGTGTGCATACATGTGCACCTTCAACCCTTTCACATCATTATTATGCTGTGCAAAGTGTTGCTAATGAAACACTCGGGATGCGTCGCATGTTATATTGTTACACTTGATTTACCGTGCCGGTAATTAAGTCAAACACTGCATGACAACCTCAGCACACGCAGTATAAAAGCTGTAATTATTGCAAAGGTTAAATCATTGCAGTAATTGCATAGAGCGTAACACCAGGCTTAAAGGGATAGTGCACCATTTAAGGGGCTTGTTTAAACTCCGTAACGGATGGTTTCTGAGTTTTGCAGAAATGTAAACGGAAGAAGGTGACATGAGCTCAGTGTCCACTTTTTCTTCTCCTACTTTCCTTTAAAACAACATTTCCCCGATGAAGCAAAAATTCTGCTGCAAAGAGGAAAGCAGGAGGTTCGTATCACGCCACATGTCAGCTCAGTGTTGCTCCAAAAAATTCAGTAACTTTTGACTTGCTTTAACAAGACGTCCTGGCACAAAGCACAGCGAGGTGATTAATGAATAATGTTGGCAAGCTGTAGAGGAGACTTCTGGGAAATCAGTGACACAGATAGAAACCTGAGCTGTCATCTAGAGGACTTTTTTCTCTGTCTTTTATCCTCTCTCTCTTTCTTCTCTGTTCATTGAACTTTCTGAAAAAGAGAGCCGCACTGCTACAAAATAAAATCTCTTTAATGGGGGTCGTACGTTTCGACGAGGCCAAAGTTGCAGCCTCTGAATTCTTTCGCTACTTTTCATACAAAAACCTCAAGACTTCCTTTCTGCAGCTCTCATAAACTTCTCTTTTATTCTTCCCCTCTCCATTCATACACCACTTCCTCTCTTCCTCTTTCTGTTTTCGCCTCTCCAACTGATCCGACCCTCTCTTTTTAACCCTTGCCTCTCTATAAAGCCCATGTCAGACCTCCTATCCCCCTCGTCCTCGCTGTCTGCTGGGGGGGACCAAAGAGGCGGCGACATGTCACACACACAAAAGGAAGAAAAAAATGGGCCACATCATGTGGAGGTGCAGCTCAGAAAGTGGCCAGCTAACAGTGCAGAGGAGGCCCCCCGTTTGATGTGCACACACAGAGAACAGTGACCTAGTTCTGCGCTGACATGTTTATGGCTGATGAGCACAGGCCAGTGATTTTGCTTGCAGAGATTGCAGCCTTGCTCCAGGGCCCTCTCATTTGGAGCGCTCGGGATTGAAACCATTCCAAGAGACGAGACACGATTCTGACTGGGTGGAACCTGAATACTCCTCCCTCTCCATGACAGCCTCTTTGTCTTCTCCTGCTTTCTCTGCCTTTTTGCCCCTACTTTACCTTTACTACATCTATAGGCAAGCATGGCTGCAGGGATGGATGTCTGTCTGTCTTTCAAACACTGAGATGAGATAAGATTTATTAATCTGGCAAGATTTTTCATGCAAGATTGCTCCAAAACAACAGAAAAAAAGAAAGTAGGCTAGTGATGAAGAGGTGTTGAAAAATGAAGGCAACGCTGAAGTGGAAAAGAACCGCAGTTCCTCGACTGTCCACTTGATGCTTACTCCAAAAGCCACGAAACCCCACTGAAGTCCATTAAAATGTCTATTTTTATCAACCTGCCATTGTAGCCTGCATAAACTGACTGACCAGCTGTTCCCACCCTCACCCTTTTTCTACTAAGCACCACTACTATCACCTAGCAACCTCGTCAGCTGCACCAGAACCAGCAACACAACTAACATCACATAATGTCTAGGGATAGATAACTGGGGCCATTAAATACCCCATTAAGCATCTTTCACTCCTGAAAATCAATCATGTTTGAGCTTATTAACTCTCGAATATCTGCGAAGTAAGTTTGACTTATGTCATTTTAATTGAATCAATGGTGGACACACTTAAATAGTCTGTCTAGTAAAGGTTTTGAACAGTAAACAGGTATGACAGTATACAAAGAAGAATTCCAACCCCCAATTTCCAACGCATATGGAACGGCTACGGAAAGTCCGGCTTCTTTCTGTTCTACTGCGGATTGCCGGACTCCGCAGCTGATCACAAGAGTTCTGTTTTTTCCAGACGCCGGAGCATGCTGGATAAATTCAGCACAGATTAACCCATGCTGGAACAGACAAAGACACAAAATAAAACATCCGGCTTCTTTTCAAAATAAAACACTGTGTTTCAGGTGGATCGTATTTCACACCATGCAAACAGGCGGAGACAAACAAGTGAAAGGTTTTTAGACAGCATTTTACCCCGATGACACCGTGGTTGAGGAGATACTGAACCAAAAATCTAGAAGTGGATTTCCTTCTCTGGAAGGACAAAAATCTTATGTCGTTATGTGGCTACAGAGACAACTTGTTAATGCATGTGAATCCATGTGTACTTGTGAGTTCTTGGGATTCCTGCTGTCTGTAATCTGCCAGGAAATTCGCCTCACAAATGGATCCGGTAGGAATTGGCGGACAGCTAAAATTGTTGCCGTTACGGATCGGAGCTGTTCCGGATGTGATGGAAATTCGGGGTAATGCATCAGCATTATGCATCAAATCAAGCCAAAGTGCATCTTCCTCTTCAGCCAAAGTAGCTGGGGTAAACAGCCAGACTTTAGAGCAAGTCCCCTTATATAGAAATCATAATCCAGTATGTTGAAATTTAACAGGATAAAAGCTATTTAGTTAACTCATTGAGGTTACAGATGATTGCACTGTGAGGTCTTTAGGGTCGGGCTGGTCTAATGAGAAATAGGCAAAGTAAATAATGTTATCTTGATGTGTTCAAATGTGACGTCCAGAAAAAGAAAAAGATATCCGTTGGCCTCTCGCTAACCTGTTTGTCAGCGGTTTTGGTATGTGACAGAATAGATCCAATAGTAACCAGCAGAGGTGAAAACATCATGTTAATAAACCAGCTCCCAGCTTGTTCTTGTACGCTGAGACAAGACTTCGGACTTTGAATCCTTGAATGAATGTTTAAATAAAGAAATAACTGCTGGCTCCACTGGGATTCCCATAAAATTGGTCTTTAATCACTTTTCTCCCAGAGGCCATATGTCAGCAGACGTACGCCTCCATGTTTGTCAAGAGGTGAATGCTAATCTGCACAGATATCTACATATGAATACTAAATGTATGCATGGGATATGATTATTTCGTACCAGAAGTGTTTCTAATTCGAATCTGTCCGTCTCTCTGAGTACAGAGTAAAACGGTCCATATGGAGAACAAAAGAGACTGATTGCATTGCCTGAAATAAAATCCCCAAACCCATCAGCCATCATTAAAGTGCAATCTTTTTGCATTCATCTCTATAAGCAGATATATGCATATTAGTCAAGAGAGCAGTATGATGGAAAATGTCACAGAAAATAAGACCTGAATATCTTTTATCCATCATGCAGATATTCACCGTCTGTACTGGTATCCCAGAAATATCAGACCTTTACCCCGGAGGTTTAATCGGTCTGATACTAAAGCTGATGGGTTCAGAGATTTGATGGATAGAGACAGAACAGTTAGTTCACATATTCGTGGTGCATAGAGGATGAATTTGTACAACTTTGGTGAATAAAAAGCTTTTCTACAAGCTCAAACAGCAGACTGACATTTATGTGTTAAAACAAAATTCTTAAGAAGTGCTGGATGGTTTAATCTGACGCACACATTTATTTATTCTCTCAAGAATTAACACCCATAAAATAAGATGAATTTACAGTTCAAAGCACTTTTTAAATAATTAAAATATTTTAAATGATTTTCAGTCTAGTTTTAGATCTTGCTTTAGAACCATTACTGCTGCTATGGTTATTGTAAATGAATAGAAAAACAACATTCTGCTGTTTTATTTGTAGATCTGTCTGAGCTGTATGACGAAGTGGATCATAAACTACTGCTAATCAATTGTAGAACTGCAAGTTTAAGTTTACAGACGGTTCACTGGTTAAAAAGTAATTTTACAGATTAAACTTGTGTCAAATCTGGTTTTCATAATACTGCCAAAGGTGTTCCTCAGGGTTCTATTTTGGGACCCTTTCTGATCTCTATTTTCAAACATGACATGGACAAGGACTTCAGAAGAAAAAAATATACCTCTATGCTGATGACACTGCCATCTTCACTAGCACCCACAACAGAGGGCCAAAAATCTGATTTTCTTAAGATCTGAAGGTGTCCCCTAGACTTCTACTTTGGGAACCTCTCTCTTTTTTTTATCTACTAACAACCTTTACAAGGACATCAAAGCAAGGTACACCTGTATGCTGATGATACTGTCATCTACAGTAATGCCAACAGCAGGGGGGCACAACTCTAATTTTCTATAGATTACTTGATGTCCCCCAGGGCTCTATTTTGGTACTATTCTGTTCTCCCTCTTTTTTTTGCATTGAATTACCTGGGTTAGAGCGTCAAAGCAAGAATACACCTCTATGCTGATGATACTGTCATCTATACTTAGGTGCTCTTGGTTCCAAGAGCAGTTAAAAACATCACAGTGTTCTTGTCTGTACAAAAAGATGTGCTAAATTCACATTTAGTTTTGAATGCCCAAAGTAAAAAGTTTACTCTCTTCTTGAAAGCTCATCTGCAACAAGATCTGTTTAATATTTTTACCTCTGAAGTGAAAATATTTAATTTCTTATTAATACTGGGGTATTTGATATGTCAACAAACTCTCATTCAATGCACATATTACCAATCTAGTTAAAAAGCTCGAAATGAAGCTTAGCATTTATTTTATAGAAACATTGAATGCACACTGAAAAGTATGATGCTAACAACATGATGGCTAACAAAATTATCAGATATCTACACTAGGCTGAATTATCCTGCAAATGGATGTGCATATCTCTTCGTTGTCCTCGTATTCAAATCGTCTATTTAGTCTTATTCGCCCCGTTATGTGTGACTCTTAAATGCTTGTTTATAGTTAATTTTTCTGAATGTTTCCAGTTGGGGTTTTTCACCAACATTTAACAAATGTGCTTGCAGGAAAAAATCTGCATAAAGTTGATGTGAAAGTTTGGTCTGTTTGTGTTCACACAGGTCATTTTAAGCAGTTTTCCATAGTTTTGTGTGTAAACATACCTTATGTAATTTCTTTCTAGTTATGTGGTACGAGTGTGTGTGTGTGTGTGTGTGTGTGTGTGTGTGTGTGTGTGTGTGTGTGTGTGTGTGTGTGTGTGTGTGTGTGTGTGTGTGTGTGTGTGTGGTTTGTGCCTGTGCAGCCTCTCCCAGCCTGTATTATTTATTTTTCCTGATGTGAGGCTTTTCCAGGTCGGCACACAGCGTTTGACCAGTAACCCCGGGGACATCCCAGTAGCTCATTTTCTTTTTTCTTGTCAAAATATATGTCATTACTCTTCAGGAAATAGTGACTCCAATTGCCCTATGTCCCATTATTGTACCCTTATTTTGAAATGACACTTAATGCTTATTCACAAGTTCACAGGTCCAGCAGCAGTAATGAGTCATATTCTTGCGGCTGCTGTTTCATGGTGTCCAAGGTCATGTGTGAGCCGCCACAGGGCCTGCCTGACAGCCCGAGCGTATTCATTTTTTAGATTAAAGCCTCTGATGAAGAGGCCTGCTCTATAATTACAGACAACCCCACAGCCACTCTTTGTGAGATTCACGTTACCAGGGCAACAGGCAAATTAAACATGTCTCCAAGGGGAGTAAATATATGCTCGGTCTATAAGTGTAATCTTGTTTGATGTGTTTGCCACGATGCTCCCCTCTGCGAGGGAGGAAATAATTCAAAGAGATTGGATGGAGTAGAGAGCTGAGGGCGAGGGAGAGCGAGCCCACTGTGTTACCCTGTCATAACATCAGTCAGAGAGCTGAAGAGACATTTTGTCCCAGTATGAGGTTTTCCCCTTTGACATTAATGATACAGTTACAAAACCGCAATGTACGATCATTTCATATGGTCGACTTGGCCCCGAGATCAATTTCCACTGCGTTTCTTCGTGTTTCAGGAGGATTTATTTGGCAGGAGAAAGCCGGAATGTAATCTGCTCTCTGTCATGAAAAAACGACCACAGTGAAAAACAAAATGAACCCTTGTGGTGAGGACTGTTCGATATTTACTCTTATACCACTCCATCTTCTCAAACAGTCCAGAATTTAGCAGCTCCACTTTTTACTTTTTAAGCAGCATGTCCACTGGTATCCCACCAGGGGTCCAGGGGCATGTGCTGGTCCCAGCAGGGGTATCCACCAGTGTGTGGAAACACACTTTTTGGGCTCTAATTTAATCATCTTAAACGCAGAGTTTAATGTGAACTAGGACGGTTCTGACCATATTTTGCTAGAAAAGCGGCGCACAGTCTGGGTGCTAATTGAGATGTATGGTGCAAAGTGGGTACATTAAGTTTCTTGATTATTCAAAGTAGTGAGTTGGTTATAACAAGGAAACCGATCAGTGTGCCTGCTTTTACTCCCAGTATTTCCAATATGAGAGCTTCATAATACCTCCTCAGATCCTCATGCGGTGCCTTTATGCTCATTGGAAAGCTATAACTTCAATCTAAACTATTTCTGACAGGATGCTGATAATACCATGAAAGCCGCCACACTATAAATGTACTCCAGCCTCACAGAGCGGCGTGCATGATTGCAAACTTATCTTGTTTCTCATCTCCTCTATAAATATCTTTAAAAGTGGTGTGTTAATCTTTGGCCTAGTGTTAAATTCACAACCCTCCTTAAAGACGTTTGGGTAATTTGACCCTTTAGCAGATTTGTCTGGAATTAACAAGAACATGAAGTCAGCAAAGCAGCAGGTCAAATGTAGGTGATATATGTGCAGCATGAAACATTTCATGGAAAGATCATCATTCACAATAAACTCAGCTAAAGATAGTCTCAGGATGTCCACACACACTGGCTCTGTTTCTCTGCAGCCACACCAAGGATCTGTCCAGCTATTTCTCACCTGCATTTCAAATTCGTCATCGGCACACTGCGAGGGTTTGGA